AAACCATCGTACCTTTTGCGAGTGGTAAAACCAAGGTCCGCCGTGGAGCAAATCGTGACCGAACTGCATGTTAATTTGGGCCACCCGGGACCAGCAAAGTCGAGCAAGCTGCTCGTAGGCGATACTGGTGGCCGAGCATGCGCGACGACATAAATGATATTTGCGCGTGTTGTCACCGATGTGATGAGGTCAAGTCTCCACTTCACGCGGCCAGAGCACCACTACTACCCATGACAGCGGTGTTCCCAAATGAACTCGGTGGCTTAGACTTTATGGGCCCCCTACTTCAGACGGCTAGCGGTAACCGTTACATTTTATTTATGGTTGACTACTTTACGAAGTGGGCAAACGCTGTACCCCTCCGTACCAAATTCATACTGATAGAGGTAGCCGATTTGAAAGTTCGTTGTTTTTGTAGTTGTTCAATTTGTTAGGCATTCACAGAAGCCCTACTACGGCATTTCATACTTGACACCCTAACTCATGTAAAATGCAATGTAATTAGTGGTCTCTATACGAAGTATCCGGGATTTTATTCATTTTTATTTAAATAGCTTAATTACCTTGCATGGTCTTACTTAACTCAAACAAGGCTATAGTAAAATCTGCCTGTACGAAAGAAATTATTGAGGAATTGAAGTATAAGTGCACTAGCTCCCATAGAGATTATTAGGCAAATTAGCATTCTGTGGTATCCAAAAGCATTAAGAGCACTTAAAAGACAAAATCGCAGTAGGGAATATACCAAGACCTGCTCATATGCTTATCCGTAAATTGGAACCTTGAAACTAACGTGTGAAAAATGTTTGGATCACCACTAAGTTTCCACATTTAATTCTCTATAAATTAAATAAGAATATGCAATGACAGAGGTAATTTCATTACCGGATATTCGTTTAAATACTTCTGCTTCTATTTAATAAGGTTCAAAAATTATAAAGGCAGTCCGCTTGCAATATATATAAATAATGTCTACAGGGAATCAGGCAGTTTCTGTGTAAAGGACAAGTGACTTATTCACCCTAAGGACGTACATAATTGCAGATAACATAGAAGACAATAATTTTGTCGCAAAATTTTAATATCAACGATGGAACAAACACTAGTAAAGGCCAATCCTGACTGTTCAATCACGTGCACGTTTTATTCTGTGAAAGTCGAGTGACACTAAGCAAACAACGAATTTGTTAAGATAAACTGCGCACCAATGTCGTAATTTGCAAGCGTCGCTCGTCCAATGAGTAGATTGGAATAAACTCTCAGTGAGAACATGTTGTACAACGATGGATGAATAAAATACGATCAGTGTTGCATGCAGTCCAGAGGTCCATTTAACATCTCGGGAATCAGTTCCTCGTGAACAAATCGTTGGTGTGGCACGTGTGAAACAATGATTCGCATAACCAAAAAGATTTTGCGAGTAGTTTAAGTTAAACGTGTTAAACTGATGTGGAACTCCACACAACATTGTCCGACATTTATAGGTTTCTGAGCGACTGGTGGATGGCCAGAATAAGTTGGTGAATCCAACACGATCAAGAAGCCTAAGTTTGCTTTTCCATTATACAGTAGTGTTTCCGTCTCTTTGAGTATCCCATCACTGCTTGACTGACCTGCGTCCTGTAGCCGAGTGCAAAAATCAGCCGATCCTAATGGGAGCTCAGGTCTCACGTTAGGCAATCCACAGCTGTTTTGTCACGAGTGTCAACTTGAGGTTTTACGCAGAATAGTCCATAAAGAGAAACTACGTTTAGTGAGGTTGAGGTGAACAATTTGCCAAATACACCTGTGCGACAGTGACTAAAGCTGATGTTGGCTGCAAGCGGAGTAATCCGTGAAGGTAGTTCATGAGTGATTTAAACACTAGTGCAAACGATGATTTATATCTGAATAAATAGCCGGTTTGTAAAGGTGTGTGCGCATTACAACGAGGTGATACCTAGTACGATCAACAACTTAGAGTTAGGGATAGCGATAGCTTCGTTGGTGTGAGTCATCAAACAAGTCACAATGTGACATTTATCGAGCATGTTAGAAGCTACTGCAGTGTGAAATCAAAGCCTTTATCATTGTTAAGATTAGGGTGTTTAGTAGAGGGCAAGATGGACTTCGTAAGAGAACGCTGCCAATTGGTTTAAAATGAACACAACGCATTTCCAAATGGCAAGCTTATCCATTTGGAGTAGATTGTACATTTACTAGAAATTGCGCTGTACAAAACCTAGAGTGAACCAAGTTCGACCATTCCAAGTGCAAATATTTTGTTCTCTTCCGCCAGTGTCAAGGCGGAGTGCAAGCTCAATTTTCAAAAGCACGTCTGACAGAATATTGCGTCGTCTCCTTTACTTTTCTTATTTACCAAACGTGAATATCTGGATGCAACACGAACCACCAGCCTCTTTTCTTTAATAGGCTAGTCCATAAATATGGCCTGTATCGCCTAAAACCTCTAAGGAAAAACAATATTGATAATATCTCCTTCCCAATAATATGTTTTATCATTCGTCTACAAATACTAATTCTCATATAGTGACCTTTAGTCGCTCGCGTATGTGCATACCCATGGAATTTTCAACGGCCCTTACTGATTACGCATTGAAGATAGGTATGCATGCGCATTCAGACGTGGCCAGACGAAGCAAGCGTTGGGACCAAATTACCTGTAATGTATGCATCGCCGATTCGTCCAAATCGTACAACGACGTATACGAGGTAGCATCAAACTACAGAAGCAAATTCATAGCACCAACTGACAAGGCATCTTCGATAGGGCGGTTTGCAACACTGCTTCCATCTCGGAGTTAGGAAACTTATGGAGGCAGGTGGATATATTCGTTTTCGCAAAATGCGTCCTTCATTTCACTTTGATGCAAACATTGTTGAATGTCAAAGAGGGAAACAAGTGACTTGTGACTGATCAAAGGAACTCTAATTGATCATGTTCAATTTATATTATGCAGGTTATTTAAGTGGATGTTAATCACTTTTTTCAAGCCCTTCATTCAATCCAGGGGATAATTATCCTTTTACATGACACAAGATCATGCTACGATGCAATTAAAAGAGTAACATTAGCTAGTTGCTTACAATGGAAGGCAGGTTGGTATATTTTTAATTGCATTTTTCGAATTTGGCGTAAGCTTCTTTAAATCTATCAAATTCGGTTTATCTTTGTAGGACGTCAAAAGCCGCTTCAAAAGTTGTGGTCCCGTTGTTGTTTCACGTATTTTGACTCAATGGTTCAGAGTTTGCTACCTGTTTTTCTATGTATTGTCATCTCCAACGCAGGTGTTTACGCCGCGAGCTTATACAAGAGTGATGGTCAAATAATGGTTCTGACCTCAAAAAACTTTTCCGATTTTGTTCAAGCTCAGCCAACTCTCGTCCAATTTTACCTGCATAGTTGTGGTGCCTGTCAAAATTATGTTCCTATATTTAAAAGAATAATTAAATCGGTTGCTGGTAAGGGTGTCTATTGTGGTGTGATTTTTTAGGCTGGCAGTGGGCTTTTCGCACAGCAGTGGTTGATTGCGCTGACCCTTTAAACGAAAAACTTATAGAGGAGCACAACATTTCATCGTTTCCAACCTTTTTGGTATTTCCTATTCCATAAATAAATGATTTTTAGTTTTTCTTGAAAGGGACAGCTCCTGTTAGAGTAAATAAAATGTTCGATGAGGATGCTTTCCGGAAAAAAATTGCTGGTATTTTAGTCGAGGAACAGCAACATAACAGGCTTATTCCTGGACAGTATGTTACCTTTTGTTAGTTGTAATTGCGAGTAGGGAAATCCCTGATGCAGTTACCATATCTGGACCGGACGCTCGTATAATCGCAATGGTAAGTCGCATCCGAGGAATTCTTAGCTAACTGCTCAATTGCACATGATGTTGGCTAACTGGTCGAAGATGTTCACATTAACTTAGAATCTAGGATACAAGTTGGTTTGATGCTATTATGACAGCAAGTGACAACAGCTGCCAGAATTATCACATAAACTAAAATTGGTATTGAATAGTGATGGTTCAAGATGAATTGCGTCCAGCAGTGTTGGTAAGTAATGAAAAGCATTGGTGACTATTTGTCATGGTTCAAGGCATTGAATTTACGATCCGAAGTTAGGAATTTGTCATAGAAATGCCTCTTTGAGTTTCTAAGTCGTAATTTACTCCGCGTTCTTCGTCTGTGTAAACGGAGCAGTTCCCGGCGAATTTACTATTTGCAAATGGTGGGGACCTGTGATAAAAGTGTGTATATGCTTGATTCGCCGTTAATACATGGCTCATGTTGCTGATTTGTCGAATCGTGTCGTTTGAATATATGATCAAACCCTCAATTTCCCCAGACCTGGTTTTTTGGCATTTCTAAAGCTTGGTATTATTCAAAGAAGTAACAATTCAACTGTTTTTGCTTTTAGATCATTTTAGACTTCCAAATGAACTCGTCAGTAATTCTGCGGAGCCAAATCAGTGAGGATTCTCAGTTCCGGCTCGTTGATAGAACTGGAAAAGTTGCTTTTACCAGGTAAGCTCGGAGGTTTTCAATGACTGCACGCCTTTATTTATCCTCATCGCATTTCTTTTGTTATAGTTCAGATGAGGACGCCTTTCGTCATTTTCTCACTAAGAACTATGTAACTGTTCACAAAGAACAGCCTCTCCAAGACAGCCCAGGATTGTCAAAGTAAGTTCTAGCTATTTTATTCTAAAAAGCCGAGGCGATTTCACATGCCTTGGTATTTGTTTGAAAAACACTATTTAATCCACGCTCGCGCAGGTTTTTATCCTTACATTGGTTAAAGAAAGCAGTAGCCAGTGCCCTTGTGTCTCCAGCATTTGATTTACATCCTCTACAAACTACCGAAGTTTGATGTGCCACATCTGTTACAAAATTTGTGTGAAATATCCTACTTTATATCTATATGCTGATGAGTTCATGGAATTTAATGTTTGAACAGTTTTGTCCTACTTTGCTCATTGTGGTTCGTATCAGTTAAAGAAAAATCGAATCCGGTTTGTCTATTAGAGTTTTGAATTAGATATCTGCCAATCTGCTATTGTGGCTATGGTATTAAAACATTTAGCGGCGATATTGTTGATCATCAGGTGTTAATTTTTGTTATTGGTACAAACTTTGGTAATATCTGTGATTCATATTATGTCTCATTACAATAAAAAGCTAGTCACCTAAATGTCCTACCGCACACCGCCTATGCAGTGTAAAAAACTACAATGGTCGTAAATGGAAACATTTGCGACATAGTGGTATTGTTCGCCGTTAAGTGTAATGTCTCCAAGTCAAACCACGGGTCCTTATATTTTCCTTTGCGTTTTTGGTTTTGAGTTATTTGGATCTCAGAAGGTATTTTGAAAAAAAAAGATACAGTTTGCTGCACAAATTCAAACATCCACAATTCTGTTTTTCTGCAGGGTATACATTTCACTTGAAAAAAATTATTAATGGGTGTTGAGATTCCACATAACTTGCGTTGCTTTCGTCTGGATGATTACTTTATTTTGTCACCGGAGGGAGTGTCTTCTTTTTTCGTCGTCACAATTTCTTGTGACTTGTTTTTGTTGTAATTCTGTCTTTGGAAATACCCCCTACCTAATTTTTTTCATTCATAATTGCGCTGTTACATGTTGATCAAGTGTTTAGTAACCATTTTGACGTAAACCTGGACTTGACTCAGATTCGAATAAATTGAATCACCTTTTCAATGTTTTTTCGTCAACTTGGAATGTGGGTGTATTCTAACTGAGGACCGGCGTGATTCCATTCTAGACTCAGTAGTCTCTTCATACGAACTCCTTACGTATATACTATTCCTGATGTGAAATTCAACGCTATTAATCTACCATGAACAAATATAAAATCGTTGAAATGCGTTTCGATGCCGTGGAAGAGTTCAGAATTCTTTTTTCTGAAAAAAAAAGCCTTGCCTTGTGCTTGTGTGTCTTTCAAGACGAATGAGCCTTCATTAAGAGTCCACTCACATAATTTCTTTTGTTTCTTTTTTCAATTCCACGCTAAAATTCATGTAGACCTTCAAAATACATGGTATTGGTAGGTTTACTTATAGACTGACATCCGGATTTTCATTTGCCCAGTTGAACGCTATCTAATGTCTCCTTCTGCTGACAGCACATATTTGTTGCATGCAACAAGTGATTGGTCGACCATTATTTATTTTCGTGGTAGTTTAGTTCCGGTTTCTAAGTCATCCAATGTCCACATAAGAATGGCGTTGAAGTTTTGACTAGCGGAACTATGAAACTGTCTAAACAATTTGGTAAATCTGCTGATTATAGCCAGTTAAATCCGGAAAGCCATCAGAATTTGGTCTGTTTGGAGAAACATTGAAAACGAACCTCTCGAAAATCGCACTGCCGTGTGTTCACGAAGCGTCCTTTGTCTGTAGATGGGAGTGCGGCTGTTCGAAAGTTTGTTCCCATGCGTAGTTTTGAGATGCTGTTGGCAGAAACGTCTGCAGCAAAACCCTTATTGACTTGTCACCACCAACCGGACCGTCCTAAAAAGGTCGATGCTCCACATTATCATCACTGGAGTCAGGACTTCGTGGCCATTACATTCTGCGTTCCCTTCGACCAACTGGAGGCGCTTGTATGAGAGACTGATAGAGCAATGACATTAGCAGCGTTGTCAGTTCGGCCAAAAAGTCCTTTAATCATTGATGGCGTTTCTTCTAATTAGAATCATTGCGTTATTAAAACAGGTTTTTACTCGGAATTGATTTCCTTGTTATGTCATTGAACCAACGTATACATGGTTTTACAGGGTTCACGCATGTTCGAAGAAAAGGAGGTTACTTTTTGGGTTCGTTTGCCATGATTTTTAAAGTAGTTTTGCTTGTTTATTTACGAGGTTACCTGCCCATCACAATAGCTATCAAATTCTTTTCTTTTTTGTGTAACGGTGGTATGGAATAGCACTGATGTATTATGAACTACTTTTATTCCTCAGACCTGTTGCTATAGGGCTGTGTACTATTGTCTACGTGCGTTGGTACTAGTGTTGGCCTGCGTTTTCACAAAGGTATCTTTTGTATAATAGATATTTTTGTTTTTTTTGTTGGTCATTTGGATCAATATTGTCTCAACATATCAGCCATTCAAATGGTTACGACAATCCGATCAGCCTCTGCTCAAAGATAACTTTTCATTTTCTTTTAATGGGTTTGTCGATATTGAAAAATTTTAACATGTATTTCTTATCTTACCAAATGTTAAATCGGGTTCTTTCGAATCCAGCGCTAATTAATTTTTTTCTGTTTTTTTCCCATACAATGGCAACAACTATTTCCTTAATTTTCGTGTATTTTCAAATTCTTGAAATCTTATCACCGCCCGTTTCGGTAATTCTGAAGTTTCAGTTGAATTTTTTGGATCTAGGACTAATTTTTGTTATACTCTTAACCTCTATGTCTTTTAGTCCTGCTGAAAATCAAACATCTCCAGTCGCCTACTCAATGCCGGTCTACGCTGCAGACATCATCGCATCTCTCCAGTATCTTCTCGTTCGTGACGTCGGCATCAAAGCCACAATCAAGGGTTCTGATCTTGATGCTCTAAAGGAGTTCATGGCGGTTGTATCCAAGGTAGGTGTCGTGTATTCCTAACAGAACAGTTTTCACAATTAAGATTATTCTTTGTACCTAGTTTTCAGTACCGCTGCAACGTATATTAACCCTTTTGCACTCCTCGCTTGATGCACAAGACTGTGTGAAAGCTTCAGCAGATTTCTTGTCATTTCAAAACAAAAGGCTTGTAACAATCTAATTTCCTGTGGTTCTATCACCTGTGTTCAAGTAATGATGTAGATCTTCTACCGAAGTTGAAATTTTCTTAAGTCCACCATTTGTTTTTAAACCCGCATCAACTCTATTGCTTCAAAGTTTGCATCGACCTAGGGACATTGAGAAGTTACCGTCACAAATAAGCCATCTCATTTATTAGTTTGAGATAAGTCGTTAGCCGAAATAAACAAGCACGCGGGGTGTTGAATGGAGCAGAAACTGGAGAGGATCAGGCAGCGGTGAAACGGGGTAAAGGTTTTCATAAGTTCTGATTGCAATTCGGGACTTGGGATTAATTATGCTTTCTGCACTCAGAAGTACAGGTTGCTACCTCTCCCTCATTCAATGTCATAGGGCAGGTGTAATCATTAATGCCAAAAACTTAATTACTAAGCGGGTTTATCAGTACGTGGTGTATGTATGCCTTACAGGTTGATGAGGTTTTGAAGACACCATAGAATAATGTAGTCTCGATTTAGCTATTCATCCAGTTGCTAAACTTGAGGAACTACCATAAACCTACTGATTTTGGGCCTCTAATTTACGCTGCTCAATTAACTAGAGGTCAAATTCTCCCAAAATTGGTTCAACTAACCCTAACTGTTTCTGAAGCGGTTAATTAAAAAATCTCGAAAAGCAGTGCTTATTCTGTGATGTCTCTTTTCGCATTTCATGCTAACATGACTTTCAACCTCCTAATTGCTCTTTTTTGTGTCTGTATTCGAATCTGAAAACAGTATCCTTAGGTCACGATTAAGCAATGGATATTTGTCATTTTCGTGTCTTCTTCAGAATAACTCTTCCAATAATCAACGTCGTTGTCACCTGTTTGCTTCAGTGAGTATCATCAGTGTAATGAGGGGTCTTTCACAACAACGGTCACATTTGATAAAAAGACAGCAATGTTCAGCGAAGACGCTTGACTTGTGTTGCTGTTCATCCAAGGCGCACTAGCGCTTAATGCAAACACGTCTCAGCCTGCATTGCAAACACCTGAAAGGCTGTGCCGCTGACAACGTTTGCTTAAATTATTTCAGGATTGTAAACATATTGTTATCTAAACAGGGCTCTCTTTTTGCTTAAGTACCTGAATTTAGGGCGGCGCTACAACGAAGATGTGGCGTATCTCAGGAAGCACATTGAGGGGATGTCAGAGATCACCCGAAAGGAGTGGCACGAACTTGTGGCTGGGTTGAATGTACGTGGTTTGGAGTTGTATAACGTTGTACTTTTAATCCTCACACAAATAATGGTTTTGTGACCTCAGTATTTTACTTCTAGTGTGATACTTCGTTGAACTACCATTCCATAGACAAACTTTCTGTCAACAAAATGGCTTCATTCACGTGATAAGTCTCCAGTCCCTAAATTATTTTTATATCAAGAACAATTTTATACCAGTATCTCTAGGTGAACAAACAATACATGAACTCAGTTTAAATTTTTGTATTTTATTCTTTTAGAAGAGCTATCCAAGTAATTATCTCTTAATTCATTGAAGTAGCCTAGAACGTCGTTGAATTTTAGTTGCTTGTTGTGGCAAATTTTGCCATCCTGAACGAATTCAAATGTCGTCCGAGGTCAAATGGCTGTATTCCTAAATCTGTTCACTTAGGCACAGGTTTATCCCTGACCCCAACTGTTCGGGTCAGTAACACAGTTTTCGTTTTTTTATGATATTAGATATCGACCGATCAGGTGCAGCACATCGCCTGCCGTGGCAGCAAGCCATATCTGCGGGGTTATCCTTGTGGTCTGTGGATCATGTTTCACTCCATGTCTGTAAACCGCTTTCTGCAAAGTAAAAAGCCAGGTATGTCTTCATTCAAAACAAAGCAACATTCCAAATATTGCACCTCAAATAATTTTTAATCTGGTGAAATTACTCTTCCCCACATCCTTTATTTGCATGTCCTGCGAGAGGACGCCTAGTCGAAAATCAATATTTGCGAAAGTCTGGAGTGCAATTTATCCATTTTCTTTTCATTATCCACTTGACAAACTTCCGCTGTAAACAAGACAATCTAGGTTGTCGGTGCTTCGGAACCGTCACACTTTTTTGGAATTTTTGGAAATAGCCTCCCATGTTGTGCCCGTATATCTCAACTTTCTGCAAAGTAAATAAGAAATGTGGCTGAATATTCTTGGTGGTAACCGGCATCTAAGAGAGAGATCGACCATTGTATCGAGCTGAAAGACTTTGTGCCTTGCTTTATAGTGTTCTAAAAAGTCGTCGCTTACTGAAAAGTGTTTTTCAGATTCACTTTGACAGAATCTTTTATCGAACATATCCAAAGTATTATGTCCACTGACGACGAATCCATGGCTCTCGTTTAGTAATCTGCCAAGGGTTAGAACATGCTCCATCGCATGGTTTTGTTGCCAGCGTTAGACCCGAGTATTATGCCCTGCTAGGTGACAAACAGCTTTCGAATGGTTTGAGTTGACTCAAACACTGCGGTCTTAATCGCTCTGTTTCTTAAACTAGCTTATCAAAATTAATTATGCTAGCCTCAATATCAATTTTTTGAAGTCCACCTCTACTTTCACTTTATGGTGTTGGTTTTGGTGCAAATTATCGTTTTCCCTGCCAGCATTTAGTAGACACCAATGGCATGTGGAGGTTTAATGTCTTGTAGAGCCCAAGGCGCCCATCGCTCACGCCTTGAATCGCTTTGTGCCGCGATTCTTCAGTTGCAGTTACTGTGCATACCACTTCGCCAGACTGACATCTAACGTGCGTCTTTCACACGAGGATGTCTATCCTGACAGCCTGAACGAGGAGCCGCCCTTTCCTTTAGTAGTTCCCGATCCATCCAGCCTTCCTGCCGCGCCAAAGTCCTCCCGCGACGAAGTACTTTGGCTAAACACAGTTCATAATTTAGTCAACAAACGGCTATCGGGAAATCCGTCCGAGGACCCGGCTGCACCTAAAGTAGTCTTTCCCTCCCCCGAACAATGCCGAGCCTGCTGGTCACCTGCAGCACAAGCCAAATTGAAGCGTGATAAGTTTTCAGCGACTCCGGATAAAACTGACGAATTGCTGGCCTATCTTGTTCACCACTATAGGCCTTCTTCGTGGAGATGGGACGGGATATCGGTGTCGTTTGAAGATGTGTCACAGTAAGTTGGGCGTCTTTTACATCACTAAACAGTTGCACAAGCTCATTGAAATTTCTTTTTACATTACGCACATTTGAAAATGGGTCATCCTGTTCGAGACTTTAGGCACACGCCTAAAGCGAAACCTGGTGAAATGGAGTGTGTGTGTGGACCATCCTCCCTATTCCCAAACCTGGCAATTCAATTGACTGAATCATTTGACTGGATAAAAATAACTCCTCAAAAAGCGCCTTGTGCTGACTGGATATCGTTGTGTGCACTTTCAACCTGACTACCTGTATTGCAAAGTAGTTGTGGTGGCAAGCATCAAGAGTGGCTATTTCTGTAAAACTGCCCTTTCACTAAACTAGTGCAAATTCAGGTGTGTTGTTGTCACTTTGCACTTGATTGCCATGTTTACTCCCTTGTCCCTTTTTTATATGTAAAATTTATCGTAGTGTCTGCTTAAGTCACACTTTCGTGATGCAGCCATAAAGGCTGATTTGTGTGCGTCTGATGAGTACGAATGCAGCCTGGTCCAGAGTTTCGCGGAGCTAGTTCACTGCCGCGAGAGCTGCGCCTGTTGTCCGTGTGTTCAGTCGCCGCCTTGGTGCCACACTAATCGTTTAGCCCATGCTGTCGCCTTACATGGCGTATTTTAGCCCAGGCGCAGAGCGCTGCACGCACGTCTTCTCGGCGTGTCTGCTTGGTTGTATGCGTGGACAAATCGAATTGGATCTTTAACACGACTTTGTTTTAACAAGAGGAGGTTTCCCCTCTTGCAGCAGCTTGTGGTAGATAATTGAGTTGAATTGGTTTTTTTGGTGTTGGGGTTTTCTCCTATTACCCGTTATTTTATTTATTTTAGTTTCTCCCGTTTCGCTTCACACTAATGACTGCAGTAATTCTAATCAATACACCACTAAAATGTACTGGTCATTCACGATAACAGAATGCTACTATTGATTCATGTTTATTTATCCTTTTCTTTCCTGTCACTATTAAAGCAAACATTTGACATATCATTTTTTGTCGAGTTTGTGTCGTTTCACGTACCTAACCAACTGATAAGTGTGTTTAACTTGAATCACCTAAAACCTGATGCATTGTCTTGTAAAAGATGTGCTCTACAACTAGCACTTTTGTCCTCACTCGTTTTGTTAACTATGCGAGGTGAAGTGTATTGCACGAATTGTAATATTTGGTTCCACAGAAAATTTCTGCAGGTTTTCTTCGCCAACTAAATGTAAGTTAGTGTGGTGGTTGTTCTACGTTCTCAGCGTCCGTTGTACTGGCGGCCTTCATGCATTTGAACATACTTCAATATCGTTTTGAGGTGTTTCGAAATTGTCGTCTAAGAGCTTGATAACACTTTTTCATTAATCAAATACTTAGCTCTACTTAAAGCCGCTTCTGAATATTGCCCTTTTTAGTACATTTAAACCGTGTTGGTTACTTGTAAGTGAGAACCATATAAGGGGAACTTACGCTTGTATTATTTGCCTGTTTCCCAGATTTCAAGCAAATTGCCTCTTATTTCTATTTACACTTGGAGAGTCAAGTTATTTATGCTTCTTTCATTGAATTCGGAATTCTTTCAAAATATTATGCTCCAGGCTAAGCCTTTTTATCACCTTCCATAAGACTTGCTGTGAAAGACCGTGTCCCAATCCATAATGAGGTTTTTTACTATTTTACAGTGCAGGTTTTCGATGCCATAAGATGTTTAAACTGTTGCCTATAGTAAATTAGTGGATTTCCCTGATTGGTAACATTGTTTCATTTTATGATAAAACAAAACGCATATTCTTAAGAAGCTCTAAAACTTATCACATAATGGCGATATTGTGAAACAAGTCTTTTGTCGGTGGGGACTTGTGAAATGTGTTTCGCCGTGACAGCTTCAATCTTAATTCTTACTGGATTTAAGTCATTCCTCGCCCCTAGGTCTTTCAATCCTAGCATGAAAAAATGCTCAATCTACTTATTTGAAACCCAACTCAAAGTCTTGCAAGTCTTTAAGGTACTTTCCAATTTCTCAAACAAGCATTGCGCGGTCGTGTCAACCGGTGCACTTCCAATGCCATCCACCTAATGTGGCCCAACTTTTTGCTCTCTTCAGATGGAAACTAGTACAGCAGCCTATTGACGCATTCAGTACCAGTGACATGGTCCTCGTTGGTGTAATCTCCGTCTGTTGTGCTGCGGCTCTGGTCGTGCTGTTTGCCCTCATTTGCTGCCGCTGGAGGTTCTCGAAACGCGAACACACACCGCTTCCCACGTCGGCATGAAACGCCGTTGCCTTAAAATGTCTTACTGCGAAATGTTAAGGCTGCTTCCTACGAATTACTTTTCAGCATGCCATAAAATCCAGCAAAATGCTTTCTTCCATAGTTTTTTTTCAAGTAAACCTTGCTGTACTCTACTTCAATAAGTCTCCGTTTCAAAGATGGTCTACATCACAGATAAAGACGGTTGACATATGAAAATTAATTGGGGATGTCCCGGTTCTACAGTATCCCCATAAAAAGAGTTGCACAACCTGAATGATTTAATAAATAATCATCGTTTTTGCAAATAGCGACTAAATAGGGAAGGAAAAGGTGTCGGCGGTGGACATCCATGCGCATCAAGGAATCTACTATGGCGGTGACCCTTAAAAGACCAGTCAACCAACCGAGTGAGGTGGATTTGGAGTGATTCTGTGTTTGCGGTTGCTCGCCAGGTTTGAATCCTTAATTACTGATGTTGGGTGTGTCATTACACACCACTGCATGGACATGACAAGCATAATTAACGAACACCCAACGGACGGTCCTCAGACGCCACATTAACTTTGTAATAGTCGATAAAGATAATTTCAAATCATATAAGTGTGCGCAGTGTTCAAGTGCAAGCAAAATATTTTTTTGCACTAAATGTTACAAATTTCGTTAAAAGGACATGTTCTTGGACAATCGACGTTTCTATTGTGCCGTGCATCTGCTCGCCTGGTTTTGGCGGCAAATTTGGTGGGCTGAAGTTGACGTCAACCGACCACGATTTCTTTATTCGACTAGGGTTTCATGTGGTTGGACTTGTTATTCATCAAAGTAAGTCTTTAATCTAGTTTCCTACTGATTTATATGTTTTTCAGAAAACCATGAAGCCCTTCCACTGCGAAACTTGTAGTGTAGCTTAAGAGTGTTATTTGGATGCTGAGCCTTGCAGGCAGCAGTATTGCTGTTATCCGACCAGCTTCTTGCACGTATGCACTTCGATTGCTTGCTTTATCTTGTTGTTAATGTCAAATAACACCTGTTCTCAAAGTATTATCCAAATTCCGTTGAAAGTCACCGTTTGTTGTCTCTACTTTCATGCAATCGCCGTTGTGATTTGGAGTGTGATTGCACTAACATCTCGAGCAATGTTTTCAATCATTCACCAACCCAAACGATGTTTCTCCTCAGACTTGTACCAGATCCTGCTGATTCACGTCCATGAACCCGGTCGTCGCGTTCTCCGCCACATTGACCTTTTTACGACGTCGCTAACGCTTGTGCTCATTTACCCTGTGCGCGAACCCCCGCCCACACACACACACACGCCACCCGTTTCATTCATGTGGCCGTTCGGCAAATCGCGTTTTTACGGGTTCACCCAGACTGTATTGCGCAACAACCCCATTTAGTCAAACACGATTTTCTGTGTACAGTGGCGTAACTAACACCCAGATTGAGCCATCTGGTAAATGGCTGTCTCGTCATCGCCTGTCTTGTTGATCCTCGTGAGTATTGTTGTAGGGTAATCGTGCCAATTTCAACGAGGCAGACTCATTCAACATGGTTTTAAGCCTCAACAAACGTAAAAGAATTATTCGTAATTTTGAAATTTAACCGATATTTCTAGTGTAATCTTACATAAAGAAAAAATTCCGCTCGATTCTAGTTAAAGAGGGCTTAATTCGAAGGAATTTGGACAAATGACAGGATTAGTAAATAGGTTCAATAAGTTAAAAGAGCAATTGTGCCCTTCCACTTTACTCCTTTGTTTCGAACAGATACTTCAGAATCCACTTGTTTGGCTAGTTACTGTGATTTCTACTTATTCTCTTTTAGAGAAGGGTTAAAAATCAGGAGGCTTGAGGTCTATTTTTTAGCTTGCACAAAAACCAGAGTTATACGCCTCGAAATTCATCATCAGCCTAAAAACCAAATGAAATGAGATTTAATGTTTTAAGTCGTACTTCTTCTATGCGTTCGAGTGTCTGTGGAGTCAAAAAGTGCTTTTAAAAAGTAACTTCAAATTTCTCCAGAAAGATGAAATAAATTAGTAAACAACCGGGGTTTTTCACGATGATCCACTAATTTCGAGGATAAATGAATCATTTTAGCCTCCTTCGACAGGCATTTACGGGTCATTTGATGGCAACCAGTTTGCACTTAGCTATAATCCTAGGGTTATGCAAAGGCTAAAATTATTTGACACAAATGGAACTAGAGACAGTAAAAATAAGACCTCTGTTAGTAAACAGGGGCAATCTTCCGTTAACGCATTCCAATTTTACACAATTTCCAAGTAGGCAACTATCATCTTTAAGATGAAATTCCGTTGTGAGTTCCATAACGAGAGTTTTCAGTGCATATTTGAAGACGTTTGAGATATTAAGTGCCATCCACTTTGAAAAGCAAATCAATTTCAGGCTAGAAATGCTTTTATTGCATCTAAGATAGCTAATATACAAAGATTACTGTCCAAAACACAACAGAAGCCATGGTGTAATGTGATTACGAGGATACTAAGTGTATAAATTGTTTAAACTAAAGGAAAATAAAGTGGATTTTATTGGGAAAAAATCTACAAATCGTTAATCCGTACTGGGACCAATGGAGCGGTCTGTATATAAACAATAGCGATCCGATTTGTAGACACACCAACAGTAAATCGTACTTCATTTTTGCTTAGCACTTATACGCACTTTGTCTACACGTGAAATGCGCATCATCAGTAAGCACCATATGAATCCGTGCACGTGTTGACAATCTGTTATGCGTGCAGACGAGAGGTTAGCGGAAGTTCCATTTAGCTTTAATCTCTCGAGTGATACTCTGCGCGTTAATCAGCATTCCATCAAATGTTCTTTGATAATGATCACATAGGTGGCAAATGAGAAAAATTACGTGATTCGCCAGTGACAGCTGCGTGCATCGTTCATCACTGGACAGGAATTCACAAAGTGCTGTAATGGTGACGCTCGGTAAACAATATTGTTCAATGTTTTTGGTAATAAATCCTCAGAGTTGATGTGCATTCGTTCAGATGTGATGTACGTTGTCTAGTGACTGTTCAGCAACCCACATTACCCCAGCATGACCTTTGCGCCCTCGTATTACCTCATGATTTCGCCCTCCTTTCGCTCCATTCCCTGTCACGCTAAAGAGTCAACGAGTCAGCTCCAGGACGCCTAAAATGCCCTTGCACTTGTGACCCAAACGCACCACATCAATTAACCCTAAAGCCAATTTGATCATATATTGCTGTGACATTTACTAACGGTATCCAGCCATGTCTTCATCATCTTAAACGTTCCTACGCTGAATTCGGTAGTTTCGAATATACTAGGAAACCGAGTGTCCCAATTCCGAGTCTTGTAATCAAAGCTCAATCATAAGTATTTGGGTGTCCGTAAAATTTACCATGCTATTCTTGTTCGCTTAATTGTTTTACAATTCTTATTCTCCCTTCGTTGTACTTAGAAGTAATTTTGCCAGTGAAGTGTCCACTGAAAAATATAGTATAAGTACTCGACTGTTCGTACAAATCCTGCTGGAGAATCTGAGAATAATTACCCTCCAGTCAGGCATATTGCACTAGTCTGACACGATAAACGGAGAAAAACTGCTTAAGGAACGTAAAACAAATTACGCTTATACAAAATTCATGAAATGTAACATGCATCAAAATATTTCATTTCCGTAAGAAACATTACTTCACGCCAAGTGAAAACTAAATCAATGCCTTCAATAGCAAAAGTGGTTATTTTAGCCAAAAATAAAGAGTTAATTTATTCGGGCCAATTCGATTTTCGTAACTGTTAAATTGAGATGGATTCGCTTGACAACATAACTTGAAAGTCAGATTCCCGTATACTTGTTATGAAACTAACTAAACGTTTTTATTGCATATCTCCATGAGATTAGCTAAAATAGCTTACTACGCCGCATCCGGCAGGACAATATTTTGATTATCGATTTCTGTGTCTAAGCGCTATGTTTTTTATTTCGACAGAACTGCTGATTATTCATTTCATAGAATTACTATCAAGATGAATGATCCTGAATTATTGAAGATATTTCTGTGGTGGATTTTGGTAACGATTTTTATTCAATAGTGCCAAAAAGGTTCCTGTTATTATCAATCATAAAACGCCTGATGTTATTATTTAGACATTGACTCCAAGTTCATCAAAGTTCTCAAGCCGCCTTTCGTTGATGCTCACAAGCAGGTAATCTGACAAAATTAAATTAAACATTATGTAAATGAAATTTTGATATTTGAGAATCCAACTTTGAAAAGCACTATTTCTCTCTGCTTCTTACATACTCATGATGAAACATTTCGATTAAACAGAGTTAAATGTTGATTGAACCAAATTACTGTCAAATTCTATATTTCTAATGAAGATCGAGGCATGCCATTTACAGTCTATCGCTGCCGAAAGTGAATTTTATTTGCTTCCTAACTCTTTCCATTCCAAAATATTGCATTCAAATAATTAAATGCAGCCCGTTATAAACCATCATTTACGTAATTACTGGTATTAAAATGCAACAACTTTGATTCATGACTTAAAATCTGCTTACTACAAATTGCCTTTTCATGATTTTCGATATAAATGGCTTTAGTACTTTGATGGTTTGTTACTTTTGTCTGGGATAATTGTAAGCAAAAATATTTAATAAAGAAAATAAGACAAATTGCTGAAGATTTTGCAATAGCATACCTAAATAATTAAAAAACCACACCTAAATATGATGGATAGATGGACAATCTGCGTAATATTTAAAAAAAAACATAAACGTGTTATTTGGTTAGAGAAAAAAATGCAGCATATTGGTTGCACTGCTAATCGAAATTTAAGTAACCAATGGCAGTTAGAAAAAGGAACTAGTTTCACATTCCAAATACTTAAAAGTAAATTATACTGAATAATCGGTGGCATGTCTACCAATGTATCCCAAATTATAATATAGTGTCTTGGTATGACCAAACGACTTTTATAAATTTTGTCCTTTTGAAGAACGAACGCTTGTTTTATTATGACCGGAAAAGCGTTGTTAAGTTCAATCGTTGCCTTGGAGGGTGTATTTGTGCGTTGTGCTCTGGTTCTGAGCAGTAAATGATTGTTCTAGTTCTCTTTTTGTTTTTTGCCTACTGCTGTGTTTTCTTCATCTACTTTGGACGCAATTCTAGTCTACTGGATATTCAAGGACCTGTACTTTTGGTAACTGCTCATCCCGATGATGAATGTATGTTTTTTTCTCCTGTCTTATTATCGCTTTATAAACGTGATATCCCAGTTGATCTACTTTGCCTTTCTTCTGGAGATTACTATGGTGCTGGTCGTGTGAGATCTGAGGAATTAAAATACTCGGCTAACCTTCTCGGAATTCGACACCTGATGGTTATTCAGGATGCCAACCTGCCAGATAATCCTGACAGGCAATGGCCTTCCGGCTGTGTTTTTGAACACATTTGCAAAGCTGCTCGCAGTTGGAAGTCAAAGTCGATTATTTCATTTGATAGTCTTGGTGTGAGTGGTCACCAGAACCATTGTTATATCCACCATGCGTTAAACGAGAAGTCTCATCTATTTGGTGATGTAGGGATTTATTGTTTAAAAACGCTCGGTATCCTACCAAAATACTGTATATTCTTGGCGATCGTTTTGGCACTGGTTGAAAATCGCCGGAATGTCTTCTGCACTCCATTGTCGTTAATTCGTCTTCCTCATAAAGCGATGCTTCTGCATAAAAGCCAGCTAATGTGGTTTCGATACTTGTACATACTTCTTTCTTCATATATGTATATTAACATTCTTTTACCGCTTAAAAAAAGTCACAAGCGTTGATAATTTTTTAATCTAACATTCTGTTACCGGTTTTGCAGCTAATTCTGAGTGGCACTGTATCGATTTAGTGAATTGGAATAGAAGCCAATTGTATAATTCTTGTTGCCCAAATACATTTTGTAATTTTCGAGTCTAGAGCAGCTAGTTTCATAATCTTGATTTCTGAATCTTATTTTGCTTAATAAACCAGCTATTACAAATCAATGGAAAATGTGTGTATGGTCCTGTTCTAAAGTGTACGTTTTGCCTTCGTGTAAATGCAAAAGGTTTCATTTTTGGGCGTATTTATGTAGTGAACAACGTTCCCTTAGAATTTCCTCCAATTAGGTTTGTATCAAAATTTATGTGATGATTTGGTATCAAAGATTCTTATGTTTCATTGCATTTGATGTGGTTTTTTTTATCAAAGCTCTGCTTCATAAACTTATACATATTATGTGTTATACGATATGATTTACTTCACATGGCAATCTTTTAATACAGTGCATTTTTGCCTCTCAAGAGTTAGAATGCCTTGAATATGCAGCATTTTACGACGTGAGATGTTTACAGGGCATGTGAGCTAGAATTTGATTTGTGCCCTTAAAACGGATTAGTTAACCAGGATGGAATAAAATTGTACAACAGTATCGCCTGAGACCATATGGCTGTAAGAAATGGTGTTTGGTCCATACACCTGTGTGCAAAATTTGAATTGTAGGTTTTGGCGTCAATTATCTTGAAAATGGGAATCAAGTTGTCTTGGGAATCTGCTTTTGTGTTCTTAGCTGACGAAATAGAGGAAATCCAGAAACAAGATGATACTTTACCTTCCAACCTCGCTTTTTGTATGGTGTTTTGTATAGGCATTAAATGTCGGCGTCTTCGGTGCAATGTATTGTGCCTTGAAAGTACAAGGAATTATATAAGGCAACGCGATGGGCCTTAACGAAGGTGTCTTATTTTGAAAACAAGGTCTTGCGAAGCTGTCTCAAACATTATTTAGTAGAGTACCCGGAGTACTTGGGGTTACATAGCGGGTGTTTCTGAAAATTTTATCCACTTGGTTTTATGCAGTTGTGGACGGAATATCATCAATCTTATTGAACTGGTCCTGTAGTATCGCTTTCCTTCCGGTTTAAATTATTGGGATGGTTGATCGTAGCTCAACTGCTGTTCTGGTCATTTAAGAACCTCTTTAGTTGGCTCATGTTTGGTAAATCTAGCTGCAAACGGAATCAAGTGTGACTCCTAACCTGTAAACACATGTTCCAGTTCACACGCCTGTCAAATTGCAAGCCTTGTTTTTATTGGCGAATTTGTCCTGACATAATATTTACCTTAATTGGTATAACAATTGTAAATTTGACGAGTAACATTAGTTATTACTGATTCATATTATTTTTTCAAACTTGCTTTATTAATACGATCAGTTTGAACAATTAAAAAAGATTATTTGTACAAGAAAAATAAGTTACATTGATAAAATCCATTAGTGCAAAAATTGACGTATTTTTTATTTGGGTGTGGTGGAGCTGTGTTGGTGATCTTGTGCCAGCAGTGCCTCCACCTTCTCCATATCGATGATGTAGTTCTTTATCTAAAGTGATTACAGTTATACGAAAGGTTTAAGGGAATAGATAATTCAGACAAATTGGGTGAATCATCATCTACATTCGCATCGGCTCCGTTAAAATTATGCATGACAGAATTTAAACATTGATCGTGTTCCGATCAAATCTTATCGCACCCTAGTCTCCCCCATAGCGTTTAACCTAGTATTTAGAATTGGTTTACTAAAAAAACAACGGAAATATTTTTGTAGCTTTTAGCCAAACGAATTTGTCTATTTATTCGCAGGTTAAAATTAATTACATGGAATGATTTTAAACTCGGTGATCCATTGTCTACGTGAGCGAATGTGAATAACATGGTATTTAAACGTCTACTGGAATCTGAACTAAGCTTTGCCAAATGTTTCTGGGACTTGAAGGTCTCACTTTTAAATATCAACACGTAACGATTCTGGTGGTAAGACGGGATGATAAGCCAAAAGTCGACCATAATAGAAGGCGAAAAGGAACTGCGGCGGTCAATGCGTACTTAAAGCCGTCGACACTTTACTCTTAGATACGTGTGTATTTTTGGATATATCAATTAACGGGTGCGCGACTCTGAGCGATCAGAATGTAAATACGCAGTTTTTTCTCCAGATATTCTTGTATAATATTTAAAAATTTTCTAGATTGGAATTTTTTAACATGCTAGGCCTTTGTTCCCAGTACAAATATTGTAGCTACCATTTGGCATTATTCGATGCTGATGAATGCCTAACAAGCGGGTGGTATTGGAAACCTTAATAAAATATTAATATAAATAATTGGGAGCACCCGGCAAATTTTTAAACACTGAAATGATATTGAGCATATTTGGTATTAACCTACTGAAAGATGTGTGAAACACCAATTCAAAATGGGATGTCTATTTATAACTTACAAAAGTTAACACATTGCCAGTCGAAGTTACAGAAATTTTTCTGCTCTGATTGTTCAATTGATTGTATAAATTGAAAATTGCCCTAAATTTATGCTGTGTTTCAACCAACCCACATTTTGAGCATGCAGAAAGTTTTTCGTCGACATATTTTAGCCTTCTGTTCGGCGGAATATCGAATAAAGTTTTCCAACTTTTTTGCCTGGATTTCGCTGTAGCATATTTCTAGCCGATTAAGCGAATTAAAATTAGAAAGAAGTTGATTTGATTTAGTCTATAGATAAATTTAAAATGTTGGTCATACTAGCCGCATAAATTGCTCCGACCTGAAAAGACCCTCAATTATCTCCAGAGATTCCAACTCACGCTCTTTTAATTCCTAAAATTTGATATTATTAATAGTTTTCTTACGAATTTTAGATTTTCAAGGGCTTCTGCGCGTTTGATTAAATCATTAATTTCAGCGAATTCTTCTGAATATAATATAACTGAGTTAAGGAATTCGTAAAACTGAGTAAAATAACGAAGATGCTGCTCCTGTTTGGATTTCAAGTCAAGTGAAAATAAATACGTTTTCTTAAGGCTGAAAATATACAAAATTACATTAGGTAACTCATTTATTTCCTTCTGTATCTGTTCTGTTTTCGTTTCTTGAATCTGGAGCTTTTTAAAGGCACTTTGAGCCTTACAAGAGTTTTCTTTCATTTTTTTGTCATATTTCAGTAGCGCCTCCTTATGAATACGTTCCACCTGACAAAATTGTTCAGTATCACGTCTGATTGCTTTAATTTCGCTTTCAAATGCCTGAATAGCCGAAATTTTACATGGGTGCTAGAATATTATCTACCAATCGTTCATGTTCCAGTTTATCACTTAGTATGTCACAATGTGCTTTCATTCTTTTATTGACAGACCTTAAGTAGTTGCTTGTAATATGCTTCATATTACCTTTACCTAAAGTATAGAACGGAGTAGAGATTACAGAAATAGGGATCATGGAACTCGACACCTTTGTCGCACCGCCTTGACGTTGCTAGGCAACGTGGGATGCATTTGAGGTCATCTTGAACTAGTTTACATCGAACTAAGAAATGACAAAACTGCAAAGGTCCTAATGCGGGAATATCGAGTGATTTAGCACATTTGCATAGGTATCAAGGTTCAGATTTACCCTGAAGAGGTATTGAGCGATTACAAAGCACAGCCACTTATGTTAAATTAAAAAGAGATTGTTCTAATAGTCTGCTAAAAAAGAATGTTTGAATAAAGTCCTCGGAACTGACACACTGAACTTGTAAATGCAACTAATAGATTAAAATAATCGTAAGTAGTACTTGCATCTAAAAACTTAATTTTTTTAGAATTCGCACTGTTCTTGCATGATATATATTCTCCTCGAAATTAGTACAATGTTCTCTAACGCAAACGTAGGTTTTTGTTTTATTTATTCATATAAGACAATCAGAAAGACAATTTAGTTAATATACAGCAGGCGTAACTTGAAAAAAAAAACCTCCGAAAATTTTCAAGAGAATATTTTATATTTATGTGAGTTCGGAAAAAACATTTTAAACGGTTATATACGGAAAATGGCAATTTTATTGTGAAAAACTGACGAATTATCTGAATACTTTTACAGGACGAAATATAATTTGCAAGTTGTTGTTATCTATGTGCGTCAGATTTTGTACTTGTAGTGTCTTCAATCTCAACATGGATTTGTGCATTCGCATTAATTGTAGACTAATTATAACAGTAATGTACTTCTGACAGATTATAACCAACCAAATAATTTATATATGAAAAGACCATGCTTAAAGGTTTTTTGAAAAATTTCTGATTCAGTAAATTTTTCCACAAAATCACCTTTTAGCTGTAGAAGAATACACTGTATATCTTAGAGATTAAACGTCTGGAAATGTATAGACATAACGAAGGAAAATAGATTTCGTTTCCTATTTTGCAATCTACATTGTTTGCACCTTATTCACATTTCCATGTGAGGCAGTAGTATCAGTTGACTTTTTATTTATAGCCAAGTTAAGATTGAAACAGTTAAAAAAAGCGAATTTCTGATCATTGTGTATCTTAAATATTTATCAATTCAAAGACACATTTATTTTTCTTGAGAAAATTTAAAAGGTTTATAGTTGTATCTCTAATCCTACTTCTCTGCAGGAATGCCATCCAATAAAATGGCACTAAAATTCGCTCAGGTTGTATCCATGAGTACTGGGTGGAACGATTTTCGAGGTCCTGAGGAAAGGCGGTAGCAATTTCTTATTTTGGTTTCGTGAGTGTGATAATCCACATAAAGTCGTGGATGCACATTCTAGTACCCACGTTTTGTACTTATATTAACAGATAATTGCCCTGTGTTTTTTACCTGAAAAATTTACGTGGGACTTACAGCAAATATAAATACGATCGAAATTTTGAAAGCTTATTCGCGCTAGCCGATCGAGGAAGGTGCAGGACCAAGCAAATGCTGAATGGTATTGAATATTTTTCATAATATAAAAGCAAATATTGACGAAGTGTAAGTGCCGTAACTTAGTCCAGAGGCTTTTAAGTAGGTCAACGATAGTACTTTTTTTTCCACTGTAATCATTGCTCTAAATCTCGCCTATATTCCGATATTCTGTTCATGGCAAAAAACCGTGACTATTGGCCGATTACACATTGCATTTGATTCCTAATTTCCTACTGCATCTTGTCAGTGTTACTAAATGTTGTGATTGCAAAGCTAACTTCACAAAGTCCAAAATCTAAAAAGTTTCCGAGAAAGATTTAAAGAATATACCTTAACTAATTTAATAATTTTTAGCGTTGCCAAAGTTGTTTTTATTTGGAATTTATATTAATATGCCTTTATTAAGTTTCAAGCTACTTTTTCAAACCCTAGTGTGTTTTACGTGATTGGACATTACTACAGTTTAGTCTAATACTTGAAAATGTGTGCGCTCCATTGTTCGAATACTTTGACAATGGTTTTAAAGTTTTTGGTATTTATTTTCGTGCTTACTCTCGTTACATCGAAACCTCAGGATCCTAGTTTGCGAGCACATGAAAAAGTATTTTTTTATTTCTTGTTATTCTCAGAAATTAAGCGACCCACTGTTAGGCCTAGATGAAATTGAATCCACGGGTACTGCTCCTTTGACCAAAAGAGAGGGCGAGAAGCTTTTGAGGTAATCTCTAATACTCATTATGCAATTCTTAGTCAACTTGTTGACAAGATGGATCTTGATGGAGATGGGTTTATTTGTGAAGATGAAATGAGGAAATGGTTAAAATATGTGGAGACCAAAGATGTAGAACTGGATGCAAATAGAACATTCGATGAATATGTAACCGATTTTAAGACGAATTATGTTACGTTTGAGCAACACCAGACGAAGTTGTCTGAGGGCTACGATGAGGATGAAGATGCTGATGGTTTTTATCGTGTTTGTAATGTCTATCTTTTGCAGATGATCTACAGCAAACAGTCGATCGAGATAGAAGGCGATTTGAAAAAGCCGATTTAGATGGCGATGGAAAGTTATCGAGGGAAGAGTTTGCAGCGTTTTTGCATCCCGAAGAATTTGAACACATGCGAGATACTGTTGTTGATGCAAGTTTAATCTATCACATATCCTTTCGCTACACATTTCTTAATCGCAATGTCCCTTCAAGGCTCTTTTTGGTAGTTAGATAGGATATAGTCTTTCGCAATTATGCTTCAATTAGTTTTGTCTCGTACAGGTGTACTGCTGTCTATATCCACAGACGCTTCCGTCTGTTGTTATTTAAACGAAATGTGTGTTATTTGCAAAATGTCAAAAATTTTTTCACTTTCAGCGTGTAATTAGAACATTAGAATATTATTGCGGCGAGAATATAATGTGCTTAAATGTAGGCAACAACATGCTGGAAGATCCCACCATTCGTAATATAATAGATTTTTTGATGACGTAGAGGTGCTAGAATAATCAAATCCTTGAAGATCAAGTTATAATGGGCTGGTGTGGGGTTCTGGACCTTATTTTTCAGTCAGTGGACTTCTGGTTGCACTGCTTTCACCTATTCTTTGATATGTCAAACATGCCTTTAATCGCCCTCCAAACTAATGGAATTATTTGCCACCCATTCGCTGGTTCTTTGACATATTTGTCTGCTAAATAGCTTCTTGCAACTTTTTGGCCTAACATCCATCTTATTTTCTAGGAAACTCTTTATGACCTGGATAGCAACAAAGACGGCCTCATCGACTTGGAAGAATATACAAGTAGGTGGCGTAATTCTTTCCCAATTTCTCCTCTTTACTATATAACTTGCCGTGGATCCAATTTCATCTAGGCCTAACGCTATTTTACATATCAACTGTACACAGTATCCAGTCCAATTAACCCTAATGCCGTTTACCATAATTGCTAATGTATGGTATGTGTGCATATACACACTGGGAGCTCTTTATTCCAAGGTACTCGTAAATGAGAGCGTCTACTCGGGGAGAGGGGAGTCCTAGATAACGGCAATGTAAAGGTGGATAGTGGTTGTTTTTTGACGATTATTTAAAGTGCAATAACGTGATCAAAAATCGCTAAAGCCTTTTAATGACCTCAAATGCTAATTATGCAATAATCGCATTCGTCGTCATAAATTATAAGCACGTAAGTGGGTAGTTCTATTTCACAGTTAAACTATCATCAGTTGTCTCAAGTAGCTTATTTTGTTTGGTTCTAGTCGTGTGGCTGTGGTTATATTCCAATTCCGTCGCGTGTTCCCGCCATAGCGTCAAACTTCTCAAACTTTCCAAATAGGCATTTAAAGGTGCCCCTCGATAACAGAATCCACGTGTCTTTCAGATATCAAATGAGTCAGGCAATTTTGTCATGAAGCCCCTCCCACTCAAAGTTGTCTACTGTTAATTCTTAATTAATTTGAGCGATCGTGTTAACAGAAGGAATTATTACTACAACTTTCTCACTCCTCTTTTTGCACTTAATATTTCGAATCACCGCCCATTTAGATAGTGTGCTTGTGGATGTTTCCTGTATTTTTTAAGACTGTGCTCGTAGTGGTATCCCAAGACAAAATAATTGCCAAGTTTCTTGTGTCAAAATATGACGCTTGCTAGCAATGTTACTGGGTTAAGTGCCGCTCAGTCCTCCTTTCACAAGTGCACTTCTGGTCTATTATTAAGTCGGTCATATTTTGGTCATATCCTGATGTGCCGCATCTCAATGCCAAAACGTGACGATGAACCATGTCATTCTCCTTATACGCTTGAGTTGTTTCAGTTTATCTATGTTCACCATACTGATCTCACTACTTCAGTTGACACACGAATGCTGCTATTTCATTAGCCCTTACTTTCGTTAGAGGACATGTGGACTGACGACTCACAAACTCCTCTGGATTGGGTCCAGTCTGAGCACCAGCAGTTTAAGGAGACCCGCGACAAGAACAAGGATGGCTTCCTTGATCGAGAAGAAATCCGCGACTGGCTCTTCCCCGCCGAATATGATCATATCGAGTCAGAAGTGAAGCATCTTATGTCTGAAACCGACGATAACCTGGTATGAAATCAGTTGTTTGCTTGGCTTTTGGCAATGCTCCTTTGCGCGTTTGCCATGTTTATAAATTCATGTCATGTTACCAAAGTAGAGCATCAGTTTTGTTTAGATCGCATCGTCTGACGCCGATTGTTAAGGTACCCTGGTATGTAAATGGCCTCAATGTGAAGCTTGGTCTTAGAAAAGACGATTTTTGGTTTCGAGGCTATGAATTAAATTGGGCTTTGGTTACTGTGAATGATTGTTAACGAAACTGATATTCGTTGTTCCTCTTTGGTGCTGCAATTTGCTTGTCGAATTTTCCGCTGTTGGTTTTTATCGTGGTTTCACTGATAGGTTTAATTCCTTTTAATAGTCCTACGCGCACGAAAGGTTTTGTCGTGACGTCTTAGTTTGTACATGTCGATGACCGTGTCCACTCTTAACCTCTTGAACTAGTTTCGCCCAGATTCATTTTTGAAGCTCTAGTGAGACAGTGATTTTGGCTAGTTACCTTAGTCCGTGGTTCCAGACTCGTATGCCCACACACCACTAGGCTAGACCCTTTGAAAAGTGCTTCGCTGTTGTTATTTTCGGGCTTGACTAATACGCGAGTAACAACCACACACTACATCCATATCGCTCGCATCCTCATCAGGAAATATGTACAGGAAATTATGTTAACCCATTCACACTGAATAGACCGCCAATAAAAATGCTCTCATACCGTCTTTGCTGTTGTACGGACCGTTGGTTCAGTGGTGCATCGGTTGTTATCACCTTTTCAACATAACTTTTTCCTTTTCTGTAGGACGGAAAATTGTCGAAGGACGAAATTCTTACACACTATAAAGAATTTCTGGGTAGTCGAGTGACCGACTTTGGCCGAGCCCTTGACCAGCATGATGAATTATAGAAATTGACAGCGTATAAAATCTTTTTTTACTCATTTTCTCCTAGCGGATCTTCCATGTTTCCCTGCCCCTCTTTCCTTCTCTCTCACCACTCAACGTTTCCGACTTTTAAGTACGCAGCTACATTGTGGTTGGTACACGACGCATTTGAATTGTTTTTTTTTCAAATATGATAATATCTTTGTTTTCTTTTTGCGGGCTCAACATTCAAAGGTTTGGTAATTATTGTCTATTCGTGTAGTGTCCCTCCCTTGTATGTGGATTAGTGGCTTTAAATGGCGAATCTGCTCACCTCCACACCTTGTAACTCAGCCAATTTAGCTCCACTGTCAATAAACTTTCGTTGGAGTGTCTAGGATAGGGGTAGTAGAACCGTCATCAATTGTCTCAAGTAGCTTTTGCTTTCTTTGGCTAAAGCCGTGTGGCCATGGTTGTATTCCGATTTCGCCGCATACTCCCACCCCGCCGTTTCGCGGGCAAGTTAGGGGTGCGAGAGCCTTCTTGCCCAAGCAGTGGCTGCAGCACCGCTTTGGCCAGCGACAAAATTCGCACGGACCCGTGGGGGTTTCGCGCACAGAGTCCTCAAAGCCACGAGTTTTGCCTCCTTGCTTTTGTTGCTGCACGTGCGGTGCGCATGCCAGTGTGTTTTCGAATTTGGGTCCATGCTGAGGTCATCGGTGTGGTGGTGGTGGTCGCCGTCGTCGTCTGCCTAGGTGGGATTTGCGCCGAGGTTGGGGCGCACACTCGCGCGGCTGTGGCACACGCTGGCCACCACCATGCAGTCGATGGGGGATCGGGAGAGTGTTTGTTGGGCAGGTCGTAACCCCAAGGTGCTTCAATTCGTTAATATTGCGCACCGCCAAACTTGTCAAACGTTCCACACGGACGTTTGAAGTTGCTGCTCGATAGCAGAGCCCGCGTGCCTTGTGGACAGCGAATGAGTTGTCTGCCTCGTTAGCCCATGATGCAGTCAATGTGGCAGTGTGGATCTCTGTGTCGTGTATTATCATTTAGTTTTATTTTGGTTTCATCTTGGTCTTCGCCTCCTAGTCATTTATTGCCCTTAACAAAGTGCCCTCATCAATTTTCATTTTGGTGGACACGGTCAGAAGTCTGTAATTTCAACGGGTTGATTATTTTCAGATCATTAATGTTTGTGCTTTTGTCTATTTACACCTTTCATGCACTGCAGCGGATCACGAATGACTGTTCTGCATAGAGTAAAGTAGAGATAAGGTTTATTGTATTTCTGCCAATTTTGTGGCTTTCCATCAGAGTTTGGTCTACGAAGTTTAGCTTTTAATGTTCTGCTTTCGAAGAAAAGGTTTAACGGAGGAAGAGAAGAGTTACTTCTCACCCTAGCGATCGGCACTTGTCAAAGCCTTCTCTGGCCACCACTGGCACTAATCATTTACATGTAACCATAAATTACAGCGTTGTTTCAAACATGGTCAGTATTCCATAAATCAAATTAGCAAAAAAATGTTTTTGCAAGGTAGCGGAGAAACGGGTGGCTGACTGTAAATGTATACTAGTTACTAGATTATTTTTTTTTCAAATTCAGGTACTCTTCCATCGGATTCAGACCCAGGCTTCCCCTTTGAGAGTCATTTTGAGAAGAAGAAAATTGTTCCCAATCCCAAGAAAGCCCTGAGAAATATCATAGGCGGCGAAAAGAGAAAGGATCGGCTCAAGCGGAAAGAAGAGGCTGAACTCGAGAGAATTATCAAATCGGTCCCCAAGAAGACCGTTTTTAACGGGGCAGGAGAGTCATCCAAAAAGGCCTACTTGTCAGATTGGCGTGAATTCCAGGCTCGTATTGAGGCAACCGTTACCGATACCGCCTCCCGGCTTGAGTCACTTCGCTGGACCGTCGAGCCCACCGAAGACAACGACAGGCCCTCGCAAAGCGATTGGGCAAACTTCGAAGCCCACCAGGAGCCAGAGATTGAGGAGGATTGGGCAGACTTCGGACCAGAAGAGGAGCACTCTAGCGATTTCCCTGAACGAGAACATCAAGATTTGCAGGTTGCCGCCACTGGTGAAGAAACAAATTGGGCTGACTTTAGTAGTCTACAAACGAGTGATCAGTCAAACACAGAAAACAAAGTTCCTACTGTAACAGCGTGTGAAAATTGGGTTCTGGATTTAAGTTCTGTTCAGGCAGATAGGAAAATCATTTCGGCAGAATTTAGCGCTTCTGATAACTACAATTTTGAGAGCTCAACCATAAAGGATATTTCTAGTGGCACTCGGGAGGGGTTATCACCAGTGGAAAAAGAAACATCGGTCAATGAATTGAACTCTATTAAAAGTGAGGTCATGAAAAGCCAACTAAACCAAGCACATTATTCACCGGACAATCAATCTCCATCTCCTGATGAAGACGTTCCCAGTCACGAAGACAAATTTTCGACATATCAACAAGCCTCCATTGAGCGTTCGGAGCCTGTAGTTTTCCAACAACTTGCAGCCGCGTCTCCATCGGAAGGAGATGAAGGTAAATGGACAATAAAAGATCTGCCTTCAGAGGAGGGGTGTTCGGCGTCACCTGATCAACCTGGGGTAAAAAATAGTCAGGAACAGTACTACGGATATGACGAGCCTTCATCTCCCACACTAGATACAGCAAAAATATTTCCTGATGCGTTTGAAGAACCAGGGACCACGTTAGAGCATTCTGTGTCATCCCGTTCTTTGACACAAGAACAGTCGGATGAATATAATTATGATAATCATATTCAGGGCGAGGAAGCACTTCCAGAAAATCAAGTAGAATCTCATATTGGCGAAAATCCCCACTACGACGAAGATGTTGAGAGCGGATGTCATCTGGTCGCAGAAGGACGGGACACAACCAAGTCCGACCATGATGAAATCATTTCCAATGCAACCGATGAAGGACTTTCGTCTGAAGTTGTTTCCCTCTACACAAACTTCACAAAATCGAAGTCCCCACCAGCCAGACAGGGCACACTAACCGAGAACAACCCCTTTCGTAGAGCATCTAAAATTGACAATCCCGGGGCCGCTGATAGCGGGATTAATGCAGAAGAAATAGCATTGGAAGATGAAAAAACAACACTGGCTACGGTCACTCTCTTCAGTCAGTCCGTTCGTGATGAAGATGAACTGGAAGCAAATAATGTGGGCTATGAAATTGATGATGTCTCAGAGGTGTCCGAATTCACAACCCCAACCAATCGAAATTTTGATCCTTTTCAGACAATTTATCCAGCTTCTGAAGTAGACAGTTCAAGCGATGACCAGGAAAAAGATCTCGATCTAGAGGTTCGTAAAATTTCAATCAAGAATAAAAAGGTCAATGGTCCAAGTAAGGAAGAAGACACTGTAAGTATTCCCATTCTTCCTGCGCCTCCAAAGACAGCAGATCCAGCCTTTGCAGATGATCTCATTGGTGGTAGTGAAAATGATGAGTTTAGAGCACAAATATATGCGAAAAACGACAATACTCTTGAAGAATGTATCGATCATAGTGCTGTTCCTGCCGGCTGGGAAACCTTTACCTCGAATACAAGCCCTGCGGAGACCTCCAGTGCAAAGGACGATGAATTGGTCAAAGCATTTGAGGTTGACTGGTCGAAGCCACCCGTTCCATCAGCTACATTGCCTGAACCTCCACGGCCAGAGACTCCTGACCCAGACCTTGAAATACCCTTCAATCCACCGCCACCTGCGAACCATGTATGGCGATTGTGGCTTAGGCACCCAGAAAAGAAAAAAAAGGTTAAACAGATGAGCAAATACACCACAGATCGGAGCTGGAAGGAGGTTGCTGTCACGTTGTCTGATGATCGAGGTCGCTGTGAAGTTAATCTACACGAAATTGACGCTAATACCGGGGATCATATCAGGGAACCCTTTCGCACACTCCGAATGGAACCTTACATGCAGTTGTCGCGTTGCAAACTTCAACAGTACGACAAGTATGGGAAGCTGAATATATTTAAGATAAATCACGTTTCTTATCATGAACTGCCTGGAATGCGACCAGAAAAGTTTTCGATAAAGACCTTTCAAAACCTCATCTCACACAAACCAAAGCGGTATGGAGCTCTCGATCACCTCCCAGTTTACACTGAGATTCTCAAATTTGGCTCGATGAGCAGGTCCTTAATGCGGAGTCTTATGTCAGTTTTGGAGGACTCCTTAATGCGAATACCAGCCCATAAAGATGAAGGACTAAATTACAACCACGAAGAAGTATGCTGTTATGTAGTCGATGAGTACGTTGGCAAGATTTCAGTTGAGGGAGTTATTGAGGAGCAAAAGGCTAGGACAAGAATTTTCTTCAGTGCCTTTGTGAACGAAGGACCCCACATTGTACTGGGGATCAACGACAAGTGGCGATTTGGGAGAGAAGTTGTGCGACGATCAGACATCTTACCTGTCATGCACGACGACTGGATAACTATTTGGAAGCCCGAATTCCACTCATGCGTCGAAATGAATGAATACGAAAAGGACCACCTGCTGAAGTTCTATCCACTTGATGGTTGCAAATTCGAACTTATGCGGTTTCGCGTAAGCCTTAGACACAATCAAGAGCTTCCAATGCAAGTGCATTGCTCCTACTCGATAGACGACCGCAAAATTTCCATGAGATGTGAACTCCTCGTACCGGGCTACTTCACGGCCACGGGCAAATCAGAAGCCATACCATGTGAGGACTTGGAAATTCGAATTCCTGTGCCTGAGGAGTGGATTTACCACTTTAGGGTCGAGAAGCACCATAAAATGGGCTCTGTGCACTCAACATTACGGAAACCGGGTCGAATTAAGGGACTAGAAAGGATTACTCAAATAGCACAGAGTCTCCTGCCTCCAAGTCTACTTGAAGCCAGCATTGGCCTTGCCAAATACGAGCACCTTTTCAAGGCCATTGTTTGGCGCATACCCAGGGTGCCGGAGAAAAATGAATGTACGTTTTTGTTGCAAAATGCTTAATACTGCGCCTTTCGAATAACAATTAATTGATTGGATACAGTTAAACACGGAGACTCGTTGAACGATAATCACAAATATGACGTTCGTGTTAATTTGCCAAGGGCCAGTTAGGGTATTACTGCAAGACAGCTAGACTAGTTAAAGCAGGGCGTTACTGGCCACTTAAACACGTGGAAGTTCTGAAGTGCTTAAAAATCTCATCGCAGGCTCACCACCTTGTTATTTATTGCAATATTCATGAATACGACTCATGGTACACTTGTTAGAAGAGTCAACTCGAGTGTGCCTCAAGTTTTATAAGTTGGGCGATTGTAACTCAGTCACTAGTACGCTTTCTTACGTCGACTGTGGACGTTGACCAAATAGTTTTAGGTAAAGTCTGCGAGTGCCTTTACCAGACATATGGGTCACTAAAGTGCAGAACAACTCAACCTACTGGCAGTAAATCTGCTGATTGTACAACCATAGGTCATCTTTTGTGCTTTAAATTCCGTTTCTACTTCTAGGTTTGGAAACTTCACTAGCTTTCACAGATTTCGAAAGAGGCTAAGTTCAGATATATGTTTTTTTCTAATTTAAAGTGTCCTATTTAAATAAAAAATTTTACAAAAAATATTAATGTTGCACCAACCTGATAATTTTGTGTATCGATGGTTTTCAGGATATTTACTAGGAATTATTAGATCCCATCAACTAAGCCATCTATTCTGCTGTGGTCATGTCCGTGAGGCATGTCTGCCTCTTGCTCATTACACGCAAGCTTATTTTAAGCTAATTCAGTACGTATTGCGTGACGAGGAAACTAATAGAACTCTTCAGGGCAACTTTGTTAAATACATGATCATTTTGATCTGCTTACAAATCGCAGCACAATGCGCGCTGCCCAGAGGTGGCAAGCGCACGTCGCGTGGCACAAACGTGCTGTGGCGCCTTCGAAGTGCCGCGTTCACAACCCGCCGGCCACCAGCAGTACGACCAGCACCGTAGGCATAATTTCGCGAATGCCTGTTTGAAAAGATGGTTCCTCGCGCGCTTCAGCTCGAAAGCTACGAATATCAAAACAGACACGTAGCAGTTTACAGCACCATATATTTAGTTACGTCATTCAAACAAGGTAGCATGGTGACATCCAATTTTGCTTACTACTCACGATGATTCAAGAAGCACGTAATCTGGAGATAGAGATCGTGTTATGCTAATCATTTGTGATTTGACTTTGTAATTCCTTAATAACAGAAAGTGATCGACGATATTACGAAGGAAGGGGGTTAATGTCGCTGATTGAGCCAGTGATTTAAAATTCTTCCGTTTTCTTTCTTTGGTATTTTGAATTTGTGAGCATATTGTCTTACATTAGCATACTAACCTCGAGTGGGAACCAAGAGGTAAAGTTAACACCCCTATCTAATTTGGTCACAACCTGCAGGAATGTTCTTTTGGAAAACCGGGTAAGCTAGGAGTACTTTCGAGACTCGAATGTGCAAATCACTGTCCGTCTTCGGAATTGAGCATTCCAGAAAAGCAGGTTTTATTTATGTGTATTTTAGCTTCTTATCGTCCCCACTTGCTGACGTGTAACCTTCTCCTAAACGCTCACGACACGGTCCCCGAATGGGAATCACTCGTAAAAGATGTCCACATTGAATTTACCATGCCGTCGAGCACCGTCTCCGGCACAACAGTTCGTTCAATATCCGTGGAAACCACAGGCAACGAGGAGAAATTCGTTAAATACACGGCTAAGTACCGGATTACCAAAGCCATCAACTACCAGCTGGGACACCGGAAGGACAAACCCTTGAAAGGAATTTTGGATGCGGACGCGGGGGAACCTACATCATCAGATTCTGAGCAGGAGGACGAAGTCATGGAGAGCGCTGCTGCCCGGAGAGAAGAAAGTAAAGACAGTTCTGCGGGGGACGAACTCTTTGGTGAAAGGCACACCACGGCCGACGCCCCACCCCCCTCAATGCTTCCGACGACACCGAGCACAAAGCAGTCCGACGAACTAGCTGACATCTTCGGATAGAACTACATCTCCAATGAACCTCCACACCCACGCACATTCATTTCAGATATTGTAAGACATTTTTATTCTAACGGGTCGTACAGGCTGCCGGGTCGAATTTCGCGGCATTTACCCGTGTAAGAGCCTGGCGTTTCGAAAACTTCGGCCGATATTTTAAAAACACTTCAACGTCTTCCCACTGAGTGTGATAAAGGGACGGAGACTTGACATAATCGAGGCAAATCTCAACAGCTTAGTAGATGGTAGATGGCCATCTTTCAATTAAAGGTGTGTAAAACGCCAATCAGGTTGTTTGCTACGGCAAGTAGTAACTTCACTCGGCAATTACGAAAACATTAGAGAAACCCCATATCCAGAGAAACCCTTATGCATAAACAAGTACACAATTGGCGATAGCCGGGCAAACAAAAACTGTCCAAAACTGGAAGGGGCCACTAACGAACCCTAAGCTAATTGATTATGAACTGCCGGCTCGAACCAAACCACTTGGCTGTCTGTTGGTCAGTCGGATAATCAAATCATTGAACCAAATAATTGAGTGGAAAAGAAGTCAGATGTGCACGCAGACCAAAAATTCAAATGTTTAGAAAAACGCAGACCATCACAATTTGCCCAAATGTAACAATACGAGAAAAAAACAGATATACAGGAAGAAGTTGGCATAGTCACAGAGAGAGTTGCAGGGAAAGGCAAAAATAAGTTTATCGTTTGTGTTGCATCATTTCCCGGAAGTCAACGTAGTATTGGATACTTTTCGCAAATCTACAAAAAGATGAAGTGGTACAAGTTTCGGCAAATAACCTGCCGGCGCATACAGACGTGGAATTTATTACGTCGTTCGGCAGTATGAACCACCACGAATTGATCAACCTGGATGAAATCAAGTAACCCGTTCGAGGCAGCCTAGAAAACCATAAAATTCAGAAACTACTCAACAAAGTACGTGTTTTGATTAAGGTACAGCATTGCAGAGTTTTTACGGGCCAGTCTCAGGCATTCGTGGCACCTTAATAATAATAATAATCTAGACCCGATACTTTTATGAAATAGCAATTGACAAAAACACCCACTTGGTGAAAGCGTTGAAGAGCGATACAATCTCCGTGCGCCGGAGTTGAAAATTTGGCCGTAATTTAACATGCCCATCTGCGGATTTGCCAAAAATGTTATCAGAAAAAAGGATTTTCAAGGCAGTGCCCATTCCCTGTATCTAAAATAAGAAAATTGCTATAATGAGCACAGGGGCTTAAAAGGACACCAGAAGTATGCATTTATTGAGGACTCCTCGTTTGAAGTAGCGGAAAAAACCCACGCTACTCGTTGGCCTGCACATGCAGGCACTTTTACTGAATGACATGCTTTGAAATCCAACTTGCCAAAATACGAAATAAAGCGCAAGCGCGAATTCGTGCATAAAAAGGCGATTATGACTATTAAATGGTCTAAATCAACTACTGCATTGTTGATTCTTAAAGTTAGATTATTTTGACTCTAAAATAACTGAATGGTTGCAATTTAGGCATGTAATTGTTGGGAAGTTGAGCCCAGAAAGTAAAATTTAACGAAATTAGGTATTCGAGGGTTGAATTTGGAAACCAACTAATCCGCGCTTAAGCATAGAGTTATAACTGTTGTTTGAATTTAGCACCGATTTCTTGAAACCCGTTAACGTACATGAAAAGGACATTCCGAGTGACATCGCTTAAATTGAAGAATTGCGACAGACATGGTCTCACGTAGTAAAAAATTAAAAAAGACGTCAAAAAATCTTCTTGGGGAGAGGAAGAAGACAAAAAACGATTCAAGGAAGTAGCATTATTTGAACGGATTTGTTGGAATATCACTACAAACCGAATTGAACCACCCAAAGTGAGGATTTACGCAAACTAGGAGGAACGCTTATTGGAAGACGCAAACATCGAGGATCAAGACAATTAAAAATCGTAAACAGAGAAGTTTTTCAGGATGTTACAAAGGTCGTGTGGATGCATGGTAGTTCAAAAATCAAGGTGCAGGAAATTAAGTGACCGATGCCAACCTGCAGTTTTCCCCACATTCTGCATTTATCACATCCGACACAGTCCATGATTCGGGTGATGTTAAGGAAACGCAAGCGGAACTCTTCCTTCAAGTCGAGAATTTCCCTGCCAGATTCATGGAATAGTTGGGATTCATCAAAAAAGCTGTTTTGATTCCTGTGAATGAGCAAATAGAGCAAGTTAGCAACGTAGGAAAACCACTGGGAGGAGGCGAAGCATTTAAGTGCAGATTTCGCCATTGCAAGTAAAACAATATCTCACACATTTATTGTGCATATTCACGATAACACATTACGATTCACTGCACACTCTCCTGCGTATGCTCTGAGAAAGCGGCTGTAAGGACTTCCTCTCCAAAACTGTTTTCTGCAACATATGATGACTAAAATGCCAACTAACGTCACGAAAGCGTGTAAAAAACTTGGGTCCATTTGTTTGTTTGTTTGGACTGGTTTAGGAAAGTATCAGCCACTGTGAGAAAAATGTCGGCTGATCAAAACTAATATCCCCAGGACTTTACCGCAGGCCATGCAGACGCTGATTTAGCCAATCAAGCAAACTGAGAAAAATAAAAGGCAGTGTCACCACAGCGGGGATAAAATCACAGCGATCGGTTTAAGTCGAGCTTAACATGATATTAGCATTATACACAGGCTACAACCTCAACTACACAAAAATATGCAATAATCATACCAAAATCGACGCGTCATATTTGGCTGGCGAAACTAAACTTCAACAGCTTCGGCAAGATATATTAAAAGGGCACATCTGCAGGACCCGACCGATGGGAAGCAACTCGTCAGCACCCAAGCAAGCAACTAATTACGGAATTAAATCATTAGCACCATACATGCCAGCTTCGTCGGCCACTGTAAGCTGGCGAATACTCATTGCTAGTGTATGGGGGACTGGAGGTCAGTAACTGCAGCGTAACAATCAGAAATGCCACCCTTGGCAAGCAGTTTGAATGTGCCCCGCATTTCGTGGTCTAAACTTACGCCAAACACGATGGCCGCAAACGCAAACACACGAAAGGGACTTTGACAGAACATCTCCGCAATCGACTCACTCAATATCACTGAGAACGTCTAGAACCATGCTTCGAGTTTGGGTATCAGAAGCAGCATCCCCGGTATAAAAGGCATGCTGTCTAAGCAACGGGGCCACTTTCGAAATAGCACGCATTTCCACCGCATAAACAAGAAAGAGATTGCGGAGACGAGAGAGCGATTCGGGAACAATGGAGGGATGGAATCGTCGAATAAACTCATCCAAACTGGGACCCCAGACACTCTTCGTTGGTCGGCTGAAGAAATTGGAAGCGCCTTTGAAATCTGCAAGTGAGGCGACAGAGATGTGCTTCCGGTTAATATATCCGGAAAGAGGTACCGAAATTTCACACATTAGCGCCAAAGACGACTTTGTACGAAACAGGCATGACCCAAATTTTGGTTATGCTCTTGTTTTTTTTTTAAAATTTACACAATGAACAGGAATCGGATTATTTGCTTTATTGACGCACCAAAGAACAATACCTACCGAGAAAGTGCGCATAACTCAAAAACTCAGCGGTTTCGTAACTAACAAAGGCTTATTGCAGACAACCCAAATGTCTATTATGGTCCCAAAACTAAACGCAAACTGAGAGGCTTCTGATCTTTTCCACTCACTGAAACTGGGACATTAAGAGAGGCAAAATAATGCTAGGGTTTCATGCCAAACGATATTATCAAACGTTAGCCACAACAACATATTTGCCTTCATTTTAGCATGCAAGTGGAGTATAGACAGGGTACGGGGAAGGCAAACGAGCGACGTGTGGGGCGCTAACGATACAATGCTGTCGGAGATCAGCCAAAAGATGCATCCTCTCTAGACGTCCACACACATTACACCACACATATCTTGATAAGCAATATGGCTGGTCGCAGCGTCAGCATATAACATATGTATTTCATGGGCTCCGATTTACTTGTTTGTATTCACATTCAGCGTAGGTCAAGCAAGTTAAACAGTCTTCGAATGAGAGCTTCCGCCATTTTTTGCAAAACTCCTCTGAGAATCGAAAATTCGGTCAGGACAAAACTATTTCTACCGATCACTTCAAGGTCAAAAAGGTTAAACCAATAATTCAAGAAACTGTTTCCAACCTCTGAAGCCTGTCCATAAAGCTCTTCACATTTTAAATGAGACTTATCCGAGGTGATCCGCATATCCGGTTTGGGTGTCAATTCGGCAAGACTACGGCGACGCGCGTGACAGAAATTGCCTTTAAACAACATTCTACCAGCAAATACTGTGGTGGCAGCTAAATCATTGCACAAATGTGAAGAATTGACATCCAAAACACTTGGGATGTGCAACCACCAAGCCGGCAGTGAGTGAATGGGAAAGGTTTGGGCAAAACCAAACAGACGTACCAGATAGAAGGTGGTTGTAGCTTAGCTGAAGGCTGATGCTTGTCTGGAGGCCAGAAATAAGACGGAAAAACAGGCGCTTCTCCTTACAAGTCTTCGTATCAACTGGAGGGGCAGAGGTAAAAGTAATTATTCGTTTTACCCATTTGCTATACACAAAACTTTACAGGGGGCTTTTGCATCGACGTCGATGGACGTCTACGTCAGGTTTTAAAAATTCCGAAAAATGCATCAAAGGACTAAACCAAAAGTTACACAATCCACCCCAGTGTAAAATAGGGCCCCAAAGCGGTTTCGTAACCGATAATAAAATACTTGCAATCTTATATAGGAAATCTACTTGTTTGAAAAGTAAACGATATATTCACACCTGGAGAGTAAGGGACGCCATTGTAAACACGCATTGGATTAGACCTAAAGTACAGAAGAGTTTGTTACCTCTACTCAGGCAAAGTTAGTAGTACTGAAGAGGTTTGAGAGCTCAACCATTTTCCTTACTCAAAACAGTTTTCGAGGTAGATTGATCTCCAAACACGTCCGGCTGATTCACCCTTATAGCCCGTGTATTTTTCCACATTCTTAAGCAGATCAACATAGATCATGCCCTGTTCAGATTCGTCTAAACAAAATCAGAAAAAACATGGCCTTAAGTGACCCAGGAATGCGAAAAACACCACTTGGTCAATACGCCCATTTACCACCAAGTTCACAGAATGGCTTATCTTCTGCGTCTTTTGTGGACCACCTTCCTATTGTCCTCTCTTGATTTTCACTAAAAAAACCAAAAACAAAAAACGTTTCTGAATCTCGAAAAATGAATAGATAACTGTTACATCTCTTCTATTTAATCATGTAATAGTCTATTAGATAATAATGGAGATATTGTGCCTTCAACACATGGATACGTTATCCAAAAATAGAAAATGACCTAGGAGGTACATACGACAGAGTTTAGGGCAGATGTAGGTTCGAATTGCAATAACGTGCACAAATTACGAAAATACATACAAGGCAAAAAACAGGACCGTGATGACATTTTAAATCCAACTTAGTTTACAATGGCTTTGATGAAAAACTGGCGAATAGTGACTGCGTCCATATCGCGAAAGCTACTTAAATCGCAGTTGTTACGTAAAGTGCCAAGTCTTCCAAGAGGTCATTATTTACAATAAACAAGCAAATTTAGTGGCTTGCGGTCCTTGTGGTTAGATATTTACTAACAAGTAGGCAAGACGGGAAGTAGTCCATACCGTAAAACAAATTTGGGAAACCGCTTCTCAAACTTTCGCATCAACGTTTAAACAAACAAACTTACTCCAATGACGTATCCAGATGACCAAGTGTTACAGCTTCCTCTTCTTCTTCAGAACACGCTTTGTTACAAAGACTACCACTGGTATCAATACACTAAATTGAGCAAAAAAACATGTCTTTTAGACCTCCAGGTCCAAACAGATGCAATGAAGGCTCCTCATTAACATAACAATTTAATAACAGCCTCTTAGAGCACAAATATCAACAACACGTCTTAATTTATGCACATCGATGTTATTTTTTTAAGTAAAACATGGTTATTTTGAACCACTCTAGGTGGTAAGAATAAATTAAGTTCAGAATGGTGAATAAGAAAATTCTTCACACTTACTCGTTAATTACAATCACAGCCTTTTACAGAAGCTTCGAGCTAAATTTCCGTGAGACCCAGAAAAAAAAAACCGATGTTTCACGAAAGTGAAAATTCCGTTGTGACTATTAATAAAGGCGTTAAATGAGGGAACTACTTGATTACCATGAAAAGGGAACTGAAATGATTTAATTCTACTATAATTAAAGCAAAGGGAAGATGCGAGCGAACAAGCAATACAAAGTTTTAGCTGAATTGCGGAATTGTAACTTGAACCAAATGAGACGCATAAACCACGAAGACGTGTAGTTGAATTACAAGCTTATACATATCTGAAGGCTTAAACTGGGAAGTGAATTGCGCAGTGAACTGAAATTGGATAAAGCGAAAGCTATCAATATAACCTGCTTACCATGGCCTCGCGGGAAATAAGTTTATCGTAGCTAGATTCTCGAATTCCAGCAGGAACTTCCGAAAGATTACAGTCTTGAACTTGACAATCCCGCAAAACACAACGTCCCTCGTCAGGCCAGAATTGGCATTTTCGGTAAAGATTCACCTTAAAAAGAACAGGATGTTAAAATACTTGGGTGAAGAACAATAAAACTAACACCATTTCAGTAATAACCCACTAGAACAAATCGAACTAAGCAAAAACAATAACCGAACATAAGAAGCATCAGGTGTTATACACTTTCTGCACTAAACATGACAGTATTTCAGGTCTCCACATTTTTTCGATGCTATTAATGGTACCACGACGAAAGATTAAGTTGGGCACACAAAACCACTAGCAGACTGGCTATACTTTACACCTTAGGTTCAGTTTGTCAAAATACCAACAATTTCAAAAATAAGTACACACGTTAAACGAAATGCACGAAATTCCGATAAATTAATATACATGTCAACATTTTCCCTCTCGTTTTTCCCTGTGCTTCGGTCGTCACCTCCATGACAGTGGAGAGAACGATTTAACCTGACACCTAATAACTTGCTATACATGAACAGTCCTTTCAACTACTACTAGACAATATAAATTACTACATTAACTTGACTAGGATACTATAATTAGGGCTAGTATATTTTGTTCATAATTTGACCTGATATTGCTTCTATCTTTCTATGGTAACAGTTGTATTTTCTCGGTAAAAATAAAAGGTGTGGATAATCTAATTAGAGCTCATATTCACCAAAAATCTCTTAAAAATATGAGGGTAAGAACTATGCGGCAGGGAAACTGAAAACCAAATCACAGATGACCTTAAGAATGCAAGCATAATAGAAGCTGAGAATATGAGCGTTAAATGCACGAAGAAAGGCAACGAAGGTCAAAACGGAATTCACATCGAAAAAGGGCGAGCGAGAAACTTACCTGAAATATACGAAAGTATTCTCGCTTGATGATATCCTCAAGTTTCGGCAAGATTATTTTATTTAAATTTAAAACGTCCTCTACAGTCGCGTTGGCGTCTCCGATAGAACCAGAGATCTGGATAAAATAACAACTATTAGTAATGACGAATAGTACAATCGACTTTACCAAAACGCTAATTGGAATAAAGTGAGAGGCGATAAGGTATTTTGTGTGAGAAAGATACATTTTCCAGACAATTTTTCGTGATAATGAAATAGTGTGTGGTAACTTTAAAATTTGTATAAATGTAGCATAAAGCAAAGTCACATGCAACAAAAATATCTGGTACAAAAAAAGGTTTTGCCAATTTAGAAAGACACTTAAAATATGACAATATAGAGTTTTGAGACCAGAACTAAAACATTAACGAAAAGCGAATAAACTTACCATTACTTCCGTGTCCAATTCTGAACATTCAACATACGTATTAAGTAAACAGCACAGCAAAAACAGTAAAAACAACATATTTATGAGTCCAACGTATTTAATCAACGTCATGCTAAGGTGGGCACACTAATTCAAAAAATGCACAAACAAAGAGCACAGAAACAAAATCTTGAGAAAGGGTGCCAAAAAAAGTATTTTTTTATACAAAAATGGACAATTGGTACAAAAAAGCGAGGTGTTTTAAACACTAAGTCTGCAATAACTAAAAATTGCTGTAATATTTAAGCCTCAAGATACTTTGTGCACTAATAAAAATTATATTTATTTCATTAAACTAATGTATTTTTTTTAACTTTGCAATTTATGTGGCTTTTACATGATCATGTGCAAGGTTTTCGGAACATTTCATGATTAAAATTCCTTTGGTACTTAACCTCATAGGATAACGCCTTTATTATGGCAAAAGTAAAAGGTTATATTCGACGCCACCTCTTACGCGAATTCCAACAAAAACAGACTTTAATGTGTATTTGCTTCTGCTAACGCCGTGCCTTATAAGTCTAACTATTATTTGTGAAAACAATTTAAAAGATGTAATTTCAATTTATTGACTTGCTGCGGAATCGTAAGCTCTTCTGGATGAGAACCTAATTCAAGCACAATGAGAGCCCTTAACAGCCATATCAAGAGTCACCTAAGCAGCTATTTCAATGCGGTTACACCAAATGAGAAAAAAATTAAATTTTTGGAATTCACTTCGCATAGGTGTTGACCGAACACAACCTAGGAAAACGTATAAACACATGCCTTTTACCGTTTGCCAATGGAAACTAGCGGGAAATTCTGACAGGAAATGAAAAGTAAATTTTTTTGTTAATTAAATCCCAAGTGTAAAAGTAGTGGGTAGATTACAAGCATCTTACTTCATCGACAACGAAACATAACAACTACTTTATGAATGTTCTCTTGTGTACCTGATAAGATATGGACAATTTACTTTATTACTGGCTCCAAGCAAATAGTCAGACGATGACTGTGGAACGTTTGAGCTGTCAACTGGACAAACTGAGCAAAGTCATTGATAAGGAAAAAAGTCAATTTTTGTGCAAGGTAGCAGGCAAGTGTTTTATGATCACCTATTACTGTGGACTTGGTTACACCCTTAATCACGGCTGGGTCTTAATTTGTTGTGGACCCCAGCATTTGGCCTTGAACCACACCGTTGACACAGAGGTAGGTATGGCCCGATGACTCTTCCTTGCTACCTGAGATGACGAAAAATGGAAAGGACGTGGACATAAATGTCTGCTTCATTGTTCGACAAAATTGTTGTATTTACATCAGGGTTGCTGTTTGAGCGTATGTATTAATAGATTAGATTTGTGAGTCATTTATGTACTAACATCGAGACCTGCGTGTGAGTATAATCTAGGAAAATCGTTTTGGCCAATGTGGGAACTGAGAATCAGCGTTGATAGCAACACACTACAAAAGAGTGAAATCTGTGTCGGAAGCTGGAATGCCCTCTTAGTGGGTGTAAATAAGCGGAAAAACCAACACAAATCATACTGCTGCATGACAATGCTCGATTCCACATTACTTGCATGACAAAAATGATCCATGAAATTGGAATGGTACTGAGTTCGTTGTGACCTGTTTTAGCACAATATATAATAATGTAATATAATATGGGGCATTATGAATCCGAGTCCACTATGCTGGCAGCTTAATTGATTATATACTATTTTTATCCCCTCATCGTCCCTGTTTGGCTACAGACACGTCGATGCAAGATTTTTTGAACTCGACATAGCTGTCATTGCACTAATGTGCAAAATGCCCTAGCATGAGCATAAAGAAGACCGATAAAACAAAATAGGTTTTATTGACCAATTACAAGCCAGAACCGTGCATCAATAGTCGCTCATTCAAATCCGCCATGCTGTCTGCGCCTTTCGTTATGTTCTGCTGTCGTACGTGTCTGTCCGGTTAACTGTATATTTTCCTCGCGAGTTATTCAAACATAATCTGACTGAGAATCAGCGGGGGCCGGTATGGTTCAATATGTCTGCGCCTTTATACGTCTCAGCACGTGTAATAAAAAAACTCGTGCGCTAGTATAAATAGGGCTGGTGCAACAGATAAGGCTATATTGACCAATCACAAGGCAGAACCACATGTCAGGCGCCCTTCTTCCGGGTCCATCACGGTTTTTTAAACTAGTCCATATGAGTCTCGCTCACCAAATTATCTCGCTTCTAGTCATTTACCTAATCGCACTTATTGCATCCTTATATACCCATCGCCATTAATTGGCCCTTTATCCATATCTTCCGAATATTAATATTGCCTGTTAATCATTGACACGCTTGGTGTCTGATGTGGGCATTCTTTTGTCTTGTTAATGATGATCAGTTTTGGTAGTCTGAATATTTCTGATGATGTACCTGTCTGTTTACTAATTTTATGACTTACTACTAGCTTACGCGCTATGGTATTGCAGCTGGTGTACGTTTCCAAACATGGTTTACTCGCAATGATCAAGCCCTTCCATTTTTACATTTTACCCTACTCACATTTCACGCATCCCGCTCTTGTTTCTAGCTTTTTCGGTGCATATTTGAACACAGAATTGTAATTATTTGGACAGCATAAAAGATATCCTTGTTTGCAGTTTTGGCTGCGGATTGTTATGGACATAACCATAAAAAAATTCAGTAAAACGTTCGCTACTGTTTTTAATGTCAGAATAATTTCCTTTACAGTTTTTAGATAGAATCAAAAAAAGATGCCTCAGTACCCTCCTCCAAGGCAAGTTAGTCAAACTTAATGCGCTGCTGCATTACGTAGCGTTTACTGAGCTACCTTTGGTTGAAATAATGCCCTGGGTAAAATACCACTGTACTAATTGAAATTAGTACTGCTATGGATTAAATTTGGATGCAGACAATGAATAGCACTGAGTAGTATGGCGATTCGCAAGCTAGACTCTGCTATTACCCAGAACATACCTTTAGTTGCTTTATATTTGCAACGTAGGTGGCTTGATTATAATCCAGTTGGCAAGCCGTTGCGAGGAACCTGGCTCCTGCCTGTCAAACTCCCTATTCCAAAGGTTCCCGTTTTTATCCCAGTCAACACAGTTCTTAGGAAAAATCTTTTCATATACCAAGGCACCTATGGTTTACCGACAATGACCTTCTTAATTTTTGTTCCGATCTCGGTCACCCTCTTTCTGGTATAATTGATCTCACTTATACGAATTACTATGACCCCCAAGTAAACTGAATACACACGCCTAAATGCTCATATAGCTTTTTACGAGACGTGGCGTCAAATACGCGAAGATTTTTGTTGAAGGCCATGCGATACCCAGTGCGTCAACGGTAAAAAGGTAAGTATAACTTCTCGATCATTTGAATTTTTTTCGCCGTAGGTTTTGTGAAGTCGTCGATGAATTCACGGATGACTGTCCAGGGAAGCTCTCTTTTCTCATTATTCTGATGTTTTTTGTACAATCTTTAACAAAATCAAATGTCTTTGCAGATGACATGATAGCCATCCATTGCACTCATGGTGTCAACCGAACAGGTTATCTGATTTGCCGGTATCTTATCGACGTCCTCGGGTGGTCTGCGAATGAAGCCATTAGTGGTAACTAGTGTTTTGGCATATAACGTAGACGGTTGCGCATTTTAAAAAATATATCCAACCTCCAGGTCGTTTCGCGCCTTTTTAACTTATGGAGAACCTCAATTGGTTCAAGTAATTGAGCACTCTGTGTTCCGTCTTCTCGGGAACACCCAGCCTGATACGTCCACCAGATCAGAATGTGTAATAATGCTAAACTGCACTGTTGCTAACCTCGTTCAGTTCATCTATAGTAATCATAACACTTTGTGTGTTCTTATTTCAGAATTTGAACTCGCCCGCGGCTATCCTATAGAACGTGACAATTACCTGGAAGACCTTCGGAGGTGTTAAAGTCTAACAAGCAATACCATTTAAGCTTTTTTGCTTAATAAAACCTGCTAAACATTACAACGCTTATGAATACCAGATTTAATTCACACCAGGAGCCTCCTCCAATCAGTGAAAGCAACCACACAACTTAAGTTTTTTTCAAATGTTGGATCACAGCACAGGCTCAAGCCGATGTGTCTTCAGAATAGTGTTGCTTCGCGGCTGAGAAACTTTCCAACTCTGGCATTTGTCCGGTTATGAGCCCAAGTGATGTTGATTTTGCTATCTACGGTTATTTGTGCTTAACCGTTTATACGCTTTCAAGTGTAAGCCAAGTTAATAATGATTAACAAAAGTTGACCGAAACTGATTATGTTCTAGGAAGCTTCACTATTCAAAGCTCCAGTAACTATATTTGAAATGAAAGACGAGGCAGGAAGTTAGCGGTCCGAAACACCCTTTCCAACAGTGTATCTGCGTAGTATGATGACTTGTGAAAATGGGTCATGTTAATTAAAAATATGTACAGTTTTTATTAGGATCACGACGTAATCTAGCGGCAATTGTTACCGTAACGAACACTAATCAAGCAACACTCAAAGGCTGTTTTCTTTCGATGAACTAAACTGCCATTTGAGGAATAAGGGGGATATGTGTGGCCTCGCGCGCGCGTTATTTGAATTGGATCCCGTCTGGCACTTCGTCTTAGCCTAAAGTGAAAGATTCACAATTACCATCAAATTGCATTTTGATTTACGACGCACCAGGAAGTAGAATTTGACTGGCTTACCCCAAAGACATTTTCCGCGGGAACAGGTGTTTGGTTCCCATACACGGGTGACCTAGGCTGTATATTTTCCTTGCGCGCGGAAAGAACACTCTCCCCTCGGACGTGGTGCCGCTGCTCCGGTGTCAGTGATGGTGGCATTCCAGTTGCGGGCTCTTTTTTTCGTTTAGTGAAGGAGAATTGCATTAGCGAAAAGGCCCGAACAGTCTTCGACGAGGTTTTTCTTCTAAGAAAGCCGTTAGTGTCAAGCTAATATATGCGTCGTGATTCAACTGGTAATGACGTATAAGAAACGTTATTTCAAGTATGCGAAAGTGAGGATAATATTGCAAAACGGAAAGCATTCATTGTATTTTGAAGGGACCAAGATCTATGCAAGGGTGGTCGTACAAGCGCTAAAAGGTCTGCCGATGATGGTGGCAGATTTGACGCGAGATTTTGCCAGACAGAATTTTGGGACTCAGGAGCATTATTTCCACAAATATAACCAGGATCAGGACATCGCTTAAGGGAAATTCAATTCAGTTTAACATACTTTGTACCCGAATTACATGACGAGGATCTTTGGAGAAATGCAGGGTCTGTTTCTGGGTGCGTGAGGTCAACTGTAGTAGAAATCGGCAGCGACGGCTCCGCGTACAGTGTTCGTCTGTAAGTAAGGCGAGAAAAGGAAAATATGAATCAGACTATTACTGAATCAGATGGAGCGGACACGAACCTCTGGCGTTTCGGATGAAATATAGGACTTTTCTGGTGGTCCTCAGTACCAGCGCAACAGCCACCTGGAATTGTTGTTGACACTGGAGATGCAAAATAGTCTCCTGCAGAGGTAACTGGAGTCTCACTGGCTTCAAACATGCGTAGAGGAGAGGTAAGAGAATATTGACCACTGCCAGATTCGTAGGAAGCCAGCACATCTACAGGTTATGGGGCATATTACCATTGGACGTTCGGTGAAATTAGCGTAAACAGAAAAGGGTGGGGCGATATAACGCACGTAATTTCTGAAATGAATTCATTCATCAACGGCGTTGTTAAACAAGAATCACATGCCGGTGACAATTATATGTAGGCAACGTTGATAATGCTTTTATGTTTTCCACAAATTAAAGCAACAATATCACACATCCCGAAAACTACGTGTTTGTAAAATCACTTGCATTAGCATAGTTTGAAAAATTAGAGAAACTACAAGAAGCAAAATGGTAAGGCTAAAAGCCTAAGGATTTTTCCAACGTAAGCAAGCACAGCACTGAGATTTAAGACAACCGTTTCAGTTGAATGACGCCAAATTGAATCAAAAAGTGCGATAGAAAATCTAAAAACACATGAATAAAACATCAAGTTTCAAAATCAACAGGTTTACAGCCGATGCATAAACTGAACCACCAAATAAAAAAGAAATTTAATTTGGTTAGCAAAGATAAGCAACAGCTACTACATAGTTTGGTAGCATTATACAAGATGAAAGTAGGTCTCTTCGAAATGTAGCGATTTGACTACGGGAAGTGTTATTCAGAGACTAGAGCAAACGAACAACTTTGAATGCAATGTAACCTTTAATCCTGACATCTTCTTCGGCCGAAGATTCTTCACACTTTCCATTCCTTGTTAAATCTCTTCGGAGAACTGCTGGTTCACCAGTGAGGACCGAAGGCGCAAAGACTCGGTGATTGCGATGCACAACTTCCCCCGCAACAAGCCGAAGCTGTGCCTTCGAAGGGGCAGCCGCAGGAAGGGGATCCACTGGCTTTACCATTCCTGTTTCGTGGTTCTGGCAAAATCCGTTCTCTAACTGGTCCGTTTTGCTATCTTCCAAAGAGATGCAAAAGGGACGAGGTTGGCTTCCTGCTCCGGAGGTGTAGTGAAGCCACACTGTAAAATGCATATAACTCACTTCCAAAAATAATCAACACAATATCCAAAAATACAGCGATGTTGCATTCAGATGCAACATCGCAGTGGGTTTATTTGCAAGTTCGGTCATGTAATCAATTTCTTGAAGAGCTGATCGTTAAAAAGCTGTCACAGTTGACCATGTGACATCGTTAACTAAACCTTAGCTGCAATTACTCTTATTAAACTCACAGGTGCCTCCACTTTTCGTACGCTACGAATCTCCCGAACTAGCATTCAAAGGAGCTAACTCAAGCGTTGGCATTTTGGGAGTATATTACCAGAACCACAGAAGGAGTCACGTTTTACTTACTTTAAATAGATTTCGAGATCTTTTTGCATTCAGTAACTTACCGGGTTCTAACTTGTAATCTTTGTTCCATATGCTTTTGTTCAGACGCTCCCCATCGGGCCGATGAACTTTCTTCAGTATCGACTTGATGGGACTGCATGCCTGAATACGGTTCACATTCGAGGATTCTTCAAATGCACCTTGTGGCAACTTCGGTGCAGTAAATAAATGCCTCACCTGGCATAAAAAAATTCGGTTATGTAATTTTGGGTATACCGCATTCGGCATTTAATGTTCCGCGTTTGCCTATTATAAAGTTCAAGGCAACTATGATTCAAAGTAGCTACGAAAACATGGTCCCTTTGTTAATCCGAGGCCACAAATTCGAATGTACTGCAGCAGGATACCGGTTATTACGACAATCCAAGGTCCCGAAAAAACCTCAGTTCTTGCATAACTCGCATAGTAGACGGGGGATAAAATATAAGTAAATTTACCTTAAAATGCTCGGGATCGAAGGTATCGACCTGTTCACCAGTGTAGAAATCAACATTCGCCAACGCAATGGCACAAGAAAGGCTTGCATCAATCGAATCACTGTAACACATGTAGATGAGTTAAACCAACTACTGATTAGATTAAATAGTAGTTATGAAAAAATGGGGAATTTAGCCTGATTCGAAAATCAAGACGGTAAATTGATCTAAGTATGACGACGGGGTGTCAGAACAATGATAACCATTAGTGAGGGAAGTAATCAAAACATATTAAGAAAAACGTCACAATTTAAAGAGCAAAAATAAACCAAAATAATGAAACCGTCACCATCAAATTATGACAAATATCACAGTTGTGAAATTAGTTACTAACATGGCTGGCAGTTATTTGCAAGCAGGTCCATCACATATACGAAGCAACCAGCAACTTTTACCAGCGTTGCCCACACAAACAGCCATTAAGAATGTTGCATCCGCGTTCTGAATTACGAAAGAGTCGTGGCCTGGCAACAATATGAAGTATTCAACTCAAAGGCGAACAATGAAGATGCCCATACTACAATTTTGCGTGAGTCGACGTTTACGCAAATTATCAAACACTGACCATCGTTCGTGCAAACCAAGAAAAAAAGCCTTGAAAATAGATTTGCCAGAGCCCTAAATCTGATAAAACGTCACAGATGAGCCTTTCTAAACCATGATTTTCCTTGTCAGTGAAAACAGTGAGGCAACGTAATGAATATAAAACACATGAATTGACACGACTTACGTTAATTTGATCATACAAACACGAAAATAGCAACGTGGCAAAGGTCTCGATAAAGGAACGGTAAAGTGATTATTTTCTCAAGAAAGTTAAAATCGAATCAAGTAATTTTAAAATAAATGGCTTTATTTCCTCAAAGTTGGAATAGATAAACGAGTTCAGGATAACATGACGGCCACATTGCAAATCACCTAATGCTTTAATAAAGTCAGCCACGACAGGTGAAACAAAAATCATTTTCGTCAGTTTAAAAAAAGCGACAGTATTTCCCTGCCTCATTTTGACAGATGCATCCATAAACAAGTCGCATATATAATAGCATACGAGCGTAGCATACGAGCGTTGGAATTAAATAATTAAACCAATGCTTTGGGCACGCGCAACTCAAATAACACAAATAGACTTAGTGTCAACCAGCTTCCGCAGATACCAACACAAGTAAAAATGAATAAATTACATTTGCACACTGCACCTTAGAATTTCGTGAAGCGGTGGTTTTAGGTTTTTTTCAAACGGCTTCTGTTAACCGTAGATTATGTCTGTGTTGGACTTTTCATGTTCAAAGGCATATTTTAAATTAAAAAAATTAACAACAAATTTGCAAATACGAAGGAATAAATATACAGTAAACGCCTTACTCTCCGGCATAAGAGAATAATTGATCGTCAGGAAGGTCGGCGTCTAGGAGTGCTATACGCTCCTCCTTTATGTCGTCTATAGTCGGCTCGGTAAGCCGAAGACGACGTCGCGATTTGGGATCAAAAACAACTTGCAATCGAAAAGTTCGCTCAGCTCGAAGTGCCGCACGAATCGTCTCTTCATGAAGTTTACTTGAACATTTAATCCTTCCTCCGACGGCGCCACCCGAACTGCTAATAGATTTAGATAAGGAAGCCGAGCATGATAACGGAGGTAAGTCATTATTTGTCATAGTTGAATTGGATGACGAACAACCAGCTTTGTAGGAAGAGGGAGGCAAACAAGCATTATCTGGGAGGTTGAAATATTGCCCCAGGTTCGAGAGTAAGTGACGGAAATCAGATAAACGGCACTGGCGCAAAATCTGTAAAAGATTTATAATGGCCATGAAAGAAAAAAACCACGAAACGCAGCTTCATACTTTTGATTTACAAATAAACGCATATATTCCACAACAATATAGGCATAACCTAATGTGAAGTAGACTCACCTTGGCAGCCGTGGCTAAACCAATCCGAGGAATACCCGGAAAGTAATCACACCCTGAAAGAACTCCCATACAGCGAAGACTTGCGTGGGAGAAGTCCTTCGATGGTATGCCACAGCACTGCTCACCAATGCCCGCGCTCCAAGTTACCAAAACTCCGGACCCGGTTAAGTCCAGCTTAAAGATAATCTAAAGAAAACAGCACGAGGAATAAAATTTATAAGGGCATCATGCAATTATAGTTGCTGCAAATATAAAGGCTTTGTACCTGTTTACAGCCAAACATAAGAAGGTCAGAGTCCTCAGTAACGACGAGGTCAGCGTAGCCCGCTTGCACTAGATATGCTAGTTGAGCATCCGACTCGTATGGTGAAACTATGCAATCAACACCTTGATCCCTAACGGCCTATAAGAGTATCACAAATATTCATATGATTTATATCAATTCACGCACAAAAGCAATAAGCAACAACGGTAGTTCACTTTGATTACGGCACGAGCCATTTCTGGAGTAACTTCTATGCACTTCTCAAAACATTCTTGAGCCGCTTTCCGGTTGCCCTCAAGAAGAAATTGGGCAGCCTTTTCCCTATATGTCCTCTTAGAGCTAAGAATTCTATAAAAAATAAGGAAATTTACCTGTGCCGCTTTGCATTTGTTTCAGATTTTGCGGGGAGGTCCGCACCATCAAAAACCAAAATGGGCCTCACACCAGCTGCGAGAATAACGTTTAGAAGCTTCAAACAATATTTTATGTACCTACAGTAAGAATGCTAGTCAATTTGTGTACTGATCAGTTGGATTCCCCAAAGCAAGGTCCATGGCACAGGAAAATGACGCCCTATGAATCCAACAATATGCATCTACGGCAACTGTGTAGCCTTTAAAGTCACTAATATTAACATGTCTGCTGCACTTTTTGAGGAACCGCAATAATCCGTTGACTCCCATTTATAAACCACACAAAATACGACCGTGGTTCAACACTATTTTCAACTCCAACCAGCTAGGATAAATAAGCCACAAAAAGCAGCTTCTGCGATTCTAATACATATAAACACAGATTTGCGGCAAAATAATTACTTGAAAAAAGAGCTGTCACCTGAGCCCTACTTTAAATACCTCTGATTTTTATAGCATTAACTAAAAACGTTTAAGGCTATACCTAAATTTTCATAATTTCCTTATTAACAACAACTGAACTGAATTTACTTAACCCCGAAATAGTTACAGGATAATCAAGTGAAAATGTTTGACACGTATTTTATGTTCCGTAAGGATACTGCAAGTAGACATTCATCTACAGAGTTCATTATCACCTAAGGTCTTCGGAAAAATAGTTGTCTCAATGATGACATGACTCGTAAAAGTAAAAAAAATGACTGAAAAAACAGGACTATATTTCCGAAAAAAGCCAAATGGTTGGGTGTAGTAAATAACTTTTTAAATTTCAGAACCAAGCGAAATAATTTATAACTCAAAGAGTATGAAATCTACTGCTGTTTGATGAATTTTACTCTTTGGGGAATTCAATAAATTATACATTGGCAATTGCGACCAACGAATACCCTCAGTTTAATTTTTTGTAACTTGCAAGGAGAATTCGCAAGCCTTAGTTTAAACGTTGATTTTTTAAAATAAACGAGCAAATATATTGTAATCATTTTTTGCGCCAAAATTTATCAAAAACTGATTACTGATTTGAATTATAACCCTAAATACCAGCTTGAAACATTTTGGATTTAAAATCGTTTCATAAAATGCCAACCTGTCTTAAGATACAAAGAATCCACGTCTATCAAATTTAGTAGGCCTTATAATTTTTTCAATGTTGACGTGAAAGTGATAAATTTGCTCATAACAAGGTAATATTAGTAAGACTGTGGTCGATTAGATTGTTTTATTAAGGTATGAAGACTTATATTTAAACCGAATTAGTCGCTTAAATTGATGCATCTTTTTACGGAGTTTCGACTTTTTTAATAACTTAATCTTGAATTCATACTTATAGAATTTGTCTTTTTTTGACACATGCAGCTAACTAAGCCGGGAAAGAAAAACCAGATTAATGTGGAGGTTAACATGTGTGCCATACTGGTATCAGTCAACCTAGTTTACACAGTCTTCGTTGATCAAATTATTACATGGCAAAACTATTGGTTGACAGAGTTTATCCTTAATGGTATTCTTTTCTAGGTAATAATAGCTTTCGAGGTGAATCCAAGCTTGGTCGCGGTCGATTTCATTGCCTGTACCTGTGATCTGATGACTTCGCCTTCAATATTCCTTTTTTCCAAAATTTACTTACTAATTTATTTTATGTCTTTTTTCAAATTTACCAATTTCTTACACGATCTATTAAAAAAACTATTTATCTGCTATAGAATTCGCTGTTTACCAAGTTAGGAGATTCATCGCATTTGAACTTCATACCTGGTCAAGAAGCCAAATATGCACATATCATTCTAGTAAGGTTGTAATGTAAACGGCACAAAAGTTATTTCCACATCATGCGTATGATTTTTTACTTCTAGTAATGGCACGAAATAAATCTGGTCAACATTGCATGTTTAAGATTCAACTGTTGGCTTAATTCTGACACGTGATTCCCTCTTGAGTCATTTAATCCGTATTCTCGACCCATTGCTACACTGCACTCAAGTTTGTCCTCCATAATACAAATCAAATACTGCCGACATTCACGTGCTTCCTTGTCAACGAAACAGCGCGCTGTTTCATGTAATTGGGAAGTAATATCTGCAACCCTCAGTACTAAACCTTTAAACGCAAATAATTCCTACATCCAAAGACCATTTAGATTATTATGAAACTGAACTTCGGTCAAGAATAAATTGATGAAATCGGAAGCCCTCTTTTCAAACAAATTAAGCTCTCTAACCTACAATTATGCAAAATTCTTAAAAAATGAGATAGCTGAATGTGAACGCTCTAAAAACAAAAGCCATGCAAAATTCCATGAGTTTATTATATTTACTGCACTAAATTCCAATTAGAAGTTAAAAATTAAAACTAGAATAGACATTGCAAATACAGCTCTGAACTGACTGGCCCAAATGTCACTAAAATAAACAAAGTGACTACTCTGGAATCTCCACACGATATTCGATTAGTTTCGAATACAACTATTCGTTTATGCTGGAAAACTTGGTTGTGGACTTCACTGACTCGTGTTTGATTTTTCAAAGCAGGCATCAATTAACTAACAATTTTACAGATTACCTTTCCTATGGGCCTCAGATTGCTTTCAACTTAGGATGTCGCACGCGTTCCTTCGCAGTTGACTGGGGCGTGTGAAAGCGTCACGAAGTTGTTCAGAGTTTTCTGATTTCCCCGGTTTCAGTTACAAGGATTAAACAAGCGATTCAACTGTGGTTGCTATGAAACTCGTGTAATTAAAAGTAAATTGTTGTGCACAAATCCACAGGTGGTAAATTTTGCATTGATTAGGTTCCATATTGATGGAGTAATAACCTTTACAATAACTTAAGTCAAATTTATATTTCAGGTACAGGTCTCAGGATTGTAATCAGCACTTAACTTTATTACTGAAGAAAAGCGACTTTTTGAAACTGCTAGAGAATCTGTACTTCTAGTTATAAGGCCCTAAAAACTGTGACAGCCAATTAAATCAAAATCAGATATTGTTACAAAGTTTTTTTGTGATAACATAGTTTTTGCCAACAAATGTCAATACAACCAGGAATGTGGAGGGTAAACAGCAATATACAAAAGTAGTTCCTTGTAAGAAATAAAGTCATTGCGGGGTTATCTTTTGGCAATCAATTCAGACCTAAAATAAAGTAAACCAATGACAATCTAGACAACTCGAAAACAAGTTGTGAACAAAGTATTACTTGGTTACGTAGGAGGCGACCAGCTTTTCCAGGAAGTTTGTGCGCGAGTCCCGTTCATGCAATATACCATAGAATCTTATCAGGTATTCCGTTACGTCGATTTGGCGCTCTGGCTGTGTCCCATCGGGCAGAGGTGTGGCTTGAACCATTTTCATCCCGAGAAGCCATGTTCGGCTGAAGCAGGCTTCATCTTTATTGTCAGCATCATTTTCACTGCTGTGGCAACCCAATGACTGACGAGACGATAATCCTGATTTAGGCCTGATTAAGGGCAAATTAATTTTCAAAAATTATAGGTTAACTCAAAAATTAATTATACCATTAAGTTGTCAATAGGATTGGCTGGTGAATTGACTTGTTCTCACTAGGGAACAATTGAGGCGAGGCCTATGGTCTAAGACTTAATTTACTTTCCTAACATAAAGTAGATAAATTATGACATTTTTGAAAAACACAAGACATGGCTATTTATGTCACTTGTGTAGTGATACAAATATCTATTTAAAGCAATATTTGGTAGTCGTGGAAGTGAAGTTTGCAGGTTAGATGGAAGACAAGACATATATTTTAAAAGGGTTGTGGATATACGGATAAAGACTGGCAATTCCCCGGAAGATACGAGTTGAGTTGGGTCTTGCTAGTTTCTGCACCAAAATTGGTGTTTTCAGCCTACCGAGAACATGCAAGGTTTTGAAGCACTTACAGGTCAGAGGCTTTGGTTATTCTAACAGCCTGAATGAATTCATGCTCCTCGAGAAAGCTGGCGAGATCCCTTAGCCGGGAATCGATTAGTCCACCAAGACGAACCAATTCCTGGTAGTTATCTGCTGACAGTGTTAGCCTCAAAAAGTGTCTAAAATAATCCATTCGTTTTATTACGCATAGAGCAGTCACAAATACGATTGAGTGCAAATCAAGAAGAAATGTTGACAATAATGGTAAATAACTTTTTACAAACGTTTTACTTCAACCAATACGTTATGTAATAGGGCGTCAAAATAAACACAAGCAACCACATCACGTATAGTACACCTTCTAAATGCATTTAGAGCACAAAAATGCAAAGCAATGCCAGAAAATAAAAGTCAAATCATTATAATGGGAGAAGAAGGCGTTCAAGTTGGCAAAAGAAATAAAACGCTTTTGTAGAAATGCACGGACAAGAAAAAACTCAATACCTGTGGTCCTGGCTGATGTCGTAGGGCTCAAAAAGCTCCTCCCAATTGGCAGAGCCGCGAATAATTCTTCTGACCAAACGACACCCTATCGACATTTTAGGTATAAAATCTACTTTTAAAATTCACAAATTAACGCAAAAGCATTAAAAAATGATAGAGTAAGACATTAAAACGGTCAGATACAGGTCTGTGTGATATATGCACTTATTTAATAAATTGGTCATGAAGTAATTTATACAAATTCTAAAAGTTAGCGAATAAAATGATCACATTCTTAAAGAGGGATCAAATAAAACTTGTTTGATGTCCAACAAAAAATTGTAGAAATAATAACCTTGAATAACAAAACTGGTTGAGATTTTGTCATATAATGCAGATGCAGAACTAAAAACATATGAAGCAACCAGTTTGACATTACTACAAAACGTCCACTGATTTACTTAGAAAATGTTAAGTCCTGACCTTATTAATTTTATTAGCTTCAAATTTCATAACCTTCAGCCTTTTGACATTTTCTACCGTACGACTGATCTTATTATCCAGTGACAGTTTGTCGTAGAGCTCCCTACACTACCCAAAATTAAATGAAAACGACGGTTGTTCGAGAGTTTCAAAAGAAATTGCACCGTCCACACAATTAGAATTCTGCCGTGAAGACCACCCATTGATCAGAAGATGAAGCGCTTCCAAATCCTTACCTCGTTGAAGTTCCTTCACAACAATATCTCGACTTGAGGGGCGAACAGTATAAGCAGCGTTCTTGTGTGGAAAAATAGGGGTTATAATGGGCATTAAGTCATGGCCGTTTTGTGAATCGCACTAAAACACCAAGTAAAGTAAGCAAATAAGTTCCACAGAGGTAAACATATTGCAAATAAGCCCTGAGATTAATTACAGTGGAAAGTTTCCTTCTTACTTCCTTTTCCCTAATGAAATTGAAAAAAAAAACACAACTAAAGAAACACACAGTGAAATGGAAATCGCTGCATTTCATTGGTGCTTTAAAAACCAGTCACATACACAATCCTCAATGTCCTAATTATTGCTACATCCCCTTTTACATTATAATTGCAATTTCAGTGTTAAGACGTGCGCTCAGATTGCCTTTGCACTATCTAAAAAAATATTACCATTTTGGTTGCAATATATTTTCTGGTCTACATTTGGAACCCATACTACCCAAGACTAAAGACAGAAAATGTGGTTGGCTTACTTGAATAAATAAACAGAATTAATATGCCACACCGCGAAATGGTATCTTATAGACATGTTTATCACTTCTAGTTTGGCAACAAGCAGGTGCGAAAATCACTATGGATTTTAAATTCAATGTATATCTACTATAAGCGGACATCGGTTTGAATAGTGACAGACTTCTGACGGCAAAGGCACAGTCGATATGAGATGTGACTAGTACACCCCCTATCAACAAAGACAGTGTTAACGCAAACATTGATAGAAACATACTTTTGGATCCCACGAATAAAGTCGCAGCTGCGGTACAGAAATTACTGGCGCAAGAACAACTGGACTTGGCCACACCCAATGTGAGAAGTATGTAAAGAATATCTGGACAAGCAAAGTAAGCCTGTGGTTTGAACCTCGATTTCGACAACCGACATCATTCGGAATAATTTGTGATTTGGATGACGACCCCATCGGACTTATAGCCGCCACAAAATCTCGTAGGAAAGATGCATCATTGCTGCGATTCCCCGACTGAAACTCAGCCGAGTCAGTAGCAACTGTCTGATCTAGTAAGCCAAGATAGGTTCCTGAATCCGAGGACTATATTAATGGCAAGAAATCGCTTATTAAATTTCATGCAAAAATTACTGCTCACGAATATCCTGGAACACATCTTTAACTCGTTGTGACAAGTAGTTTGAAAATTAGAACAAGGATAAGTAAATAGTCTGAGCTGAAATTAATGCGCTTTAAATTATTTGACCATTAATGAAATTATGATTCCAGGACTTTTTACGGAATACCTAAATATCACAATATTTTTCCTCAATGATTACACACTCGTAAACATTTATCAAATAGAAAGGGAGCAATCACCACACTGCACAAATAAATAAGATCTTAATATAACCAAGATGTGAAAGTGTGACTTCAATAATTTTGACATCATTCGTTTAAAGAATACTTTCGCAAATTTTTTTATAACTACGATTTGAAAAAAATTAAATCATGAGACAACACTCACGTTGCTGGCTGTGTTAATGCAGATATATGCACATAATATTGCCCAAGCGACACTAGCGGGAAATCCATACACATAGTCCTTGATAAGACGCCGAGAGGTCCAGATTTTAATGACTTTAAGAAGGTCAGTAAAAAGTGAAAAATCGGGAACAAGTTCCCGAATTTTTTGTGAAAGGTGTAGGCCCGATAAACCATGAACAGAAAAGTGGTCCACATTAGAGTAGAATTTTTCGGGTTTTTGATTAAAAACAAGTGGGTTGGGAACATATGGTAAATTCAGGCGACTCATTATTAAGTCAACCTAAAATGGAAATTTGAAAAGAAACAGGTTACAGGAACAAAGCCAAAACACGAAAGGACGGAGTTAACTTATACGTAGTCTCCAAACACACAGAAAAGTAGCAAATTCATTTGATGTCAAATAAGCTCACCGAAGTTCCTTCGACCTTCATTTTTATGAGTGGAACAAATGTATCCGGGACGGTTAACAAGTCTTTTATGTTTGGATGCTTTCTTAATACCTCTGAAAACACGTTGAAAAAATCTTCACGGTAAACAAAATTTGGAGTCACTAGGACAGCATCAATATCACTGTTTTTAAAACTGACATCAAGGCTTGTCGAACCCTGAACCAGCACTGCACAAGGTAAGACTGAATTTGAACTTTCTAATAAAATATCCTAAAAAAGTAACTTCATATACACAACTTACACGTTTTCTTGCAAGATCTAGAACCCAATCCTTAGCAATACCTTGGAGCAAATGTACGTGCCGAATCCTACGATTGTGAAGGAAGAAATGATGTACTTTTGGGTCCTAGAATCATTAGATTCCACCATGTCTAAATTCTTCAAGTATTTTACTAATTCTTCATCCATAATACCACTTATGAAACGGAAATCTATATTCCGGTCAAAAACCAAAACCACTATGACCTTGGAAAATGATCACTACTAATGCTGTTGTAAACAAATAAAGTGAATTTTAGTTTAAGCTAATACAAAATTTTAAGCAAGCGAATTAGCCGTGATTAGCACTGTGTTAATTTGTTGCTAATGTAATTTAAGAACCCAAACTGTATATCATTCACAGCAAATGTTGACCGATTTAAATTAAACTTTAAATTTTTTGGAAAATAGTCAGCAAATATCTTCTTAAATCAGAGGTTTTGTCCTATGAGCATCTGCTTCATTGTGTTCATTGTTCAAGTATTGTTTCATCCACACTCGCATTCGCGAAGGGGACTTTGCTGTCTTTGTTTTAAGGATTTTTCAAATGTCATTTGTTAAAGCTATGGGACTATTTCTCCTATCACGGCACCTTGAGGCTTTATATGCAATAATTAAACGTTATAAATTTATACAAAAAAATATCCTACTTCAAGTGTAATTGTTATGCAACATACATTTGCTCTAATGAATTCGAAAATATAATTTCTACCGGTCTATGCGAGTTTTTAAGCAGGCCGTCATTAGTTGTACTGAAGATACTTGTACAAAACTATTTTGGAAAATTTATTTTGAGACGTTAGTAAAAAGACGTTTACATCATGCTGGGACAGCCAAGAGTACCTGTTATGAGCATTTAGAATAGTGGCCCTTGATAGTTACAGGCAGTAATAACTCCCGGAATTTTTCAATGTAATTCAGTATGTACTTGACATTTATTCGGATAATTCTTTTACTATTTTACATAGCAACACGTTTTTGATCTGCTCAACTTACCAAACCAAATGGCAGTCAGTACGCTTTTCAATTTCATTAAGTAGATAGGAAAATGAATAGATCTGGGTCTTGTAACAAAATGAAGAGCTTAAACACTCAAAATATTAAAATTCCAAATATTGTGTGCATGCCTATTGCCTGAGACCTTAACCCTTCCACTTCTTCGCAGTCAAAATTCTACTTAAATGTTTTAAATTAATAGTGTCACTTTAGACCGTAGAAAATACCCATTAGGTCCTCCTTTTAAAATACTTATTAAATCAATTGTATCCCGAAAATTATTCGACTTGAGGGGAAGTTTTTATGTGAATCAATTCCGCAAAACACACAAGCATCACAACTACGTGTGAGCAAATTTATAAGTGAGAATTCAGAAAATTAAAATTATAAAATTGTGAAGAAGGCAAAACATATCTTAATGTCACACTTCACTCTCTCCCAGACAAAAGAATATGAATTGCAATGGCATTTGCATCCAAGATATCTGTGCATAGGTCGAGTATTTGCGTGATTCCAAATTTCAAAAATGACAAACCACGCTGTTCAAGAATCACAGTGAAAAAAACTCACGTTACTTTATTTTTTTTCGTGTTGAGAAGGGTGTTTACAAATATTACAAAATCAACAAAACACTCATGCCGTTGCGCCGTCTAAGCTCAACAATCACTGGAACTTCCACAGGCGAAGCAGAACCGCCACTTTTGAACCGTCTCCACCTTTCCTGCGGCGTAGCATACAAGATACATTGTTCCGATTTCTTTTGTCAGAAGTATTTTCCCATCTCTTCACAGTTTAGCGACGATAATGGAGAGGACTCCTGTACAAACCGTGAAATGCCCCCCTATAGTTGGATGTATTACATGACATTTCCGCCACGTGGCAAAATGTCAAACAAGTAGTTTTCTCGTAAGAACCGCATTTCCACAACTTTAACCTTTGGAATCTGAACACCCATGGCAGCAGCCCGCACAGATTTCCGTGCCATCGACTTGACATGCTGGGATGCACGACAGACCCAGTTTCGTATTTGAAGAAATGAGGAAGCGAACATTTCAGACAATACAAATTACTACTTAAGTACATTTAGTGACCGATGTACAAAATATAGGCACTGTCAAATAGAATTGCTAAAAGAGACATACAGACAACATAAATTTAAAAACAATACGCAAGTGAAGTGCCATTGGGAGTAACGCAGCCTGTTTACAACGGCGAGTAAAGGATGCCTCCAAAGAAGAGGGCCCAAGCAAGTGCCACAAGAGAACCCTCCACTACCACTGAGTGACCGTCTTGCATGCAACGAGAGAACATCTTCATGGTTTCGTCAAGCAGGAGTACAGGGAAAGATAGCTTTAATACCACAGCCCACTCAGTTAGGTTTAAAGGTGAAATCTGGAATACGTTCTGTAAAAAACAAACAAGAGATATGCCAAGTTCTTAACTTGCTTTATGAAACATTACAATAATAAACCAAAACAAGCAAATTGAACAGAAGCGTCATTATGACATCAGTTTTGGTTCGCTTAGACAACTAGAAAGACATCTAGTTTCTAATAATGTACTTCCGAGGTGTCAACACACAGCATTAATTCGGCAAAACAATGCAGATCTCCGCCGGAGAAATGTTGGTACACGAACAAAATTAACACTCCAGAAGAGGCCTAGATATTGGGCAATAGATCTGAGAATTTACTATAAGAAATTTGTTGCCACATCATGCAAATTATTACATTTATTCACCGATATTTAATATAGCATGGCAACGTGTTTTTTAGTGGAGCTACACAAGGCCGAGTTGTAGGCATAATTCATTAACTCACTAATGAGGTAGACTTACCGCTAGGAAAGGTACATTGAGGATTGTGAAGTGCTGGGCCATGCTTAGTGTAACTGCAAGGAGAAGCCAGATGTTCTTCCATGGCGGCATTACAAGTAGCGATTGATTTTCGGAAAGACTAAAGAGACATTTATGGAGAAAGTGGCTGGAATTTCTAATTAAGCAAATGCACTGGCGTGTGACGTAAATTGCTAGTAGCTAGGAATCCCTGTACATACATTCACACTATGCACAATCGAAAGTTATGGCAATTAGAACGACAATAACAGGTCATAGTGCATGAAAAGACCAGGGCTATTTTGTTCACAAATGACACAGGAAGGTGCAATGGTATCAGATGTCCCAAATAACTAAAAGTTGTTACGTCGATCGCGCAGGCATCTATTCAATAGCATGACATAGGCATGGTGAAAGGACAACGCGCCTTTCTCAACTCCCACCTATTACCTTGCAATGTTAAGTCAGATTCCTTGACGATAAGAGGTTTGTTTTTATAACACTTGGAGAGTAAATTAAAGGTAGTATTTGGTGGAGGATGGGTATTTTTATGTCCTAATATGTACAAACTCCGTATCTAAAGCACGGGAATTTTAAATTCTAGTAATTACACAACACGGTATTGTGGAATTTAATTTTTATCGGCATCAGACTTGTGATACTATTAAATCGGCGCACTCTAATACATTGAAGAACCTGACGTTACGGACTGAATCGAACGAAGGCATGGCAAGTGCGAAAAATTGCAAAGCCTGTTCAGAGAAAAAGGCAATTCCACTGGTCCCGAAGTATATTGCCAAATCTTACATAAAAACTTACAGGTCACTGTTTAAACTGCTGGAAGGATCTTAATAATAATCATTGTGAACAGTGGTAAACAACTTTTATTAATCGTTTACTACAATAGATGGATGGATCGGTAAAGTGAAAGGACCAACCTATTTAGAGCGTTGAGCATCTCGATGACAACCAGAACGGAAAGAGCCAAGGTCATGGGCTTTGCGCTCGAGAAAACTGAGCAAGAAACGTTTGCGAAATCAGCCTTGTTGCTTGTGCACTTGAGATGGTGTGTCTGAAACAATACAATGGGTAGGGAAGATACAGTGAGTCGATGTTAAATCGAACTGAACGACTATAAGCTTCAGACGTGACCAATAGGCTATAAATGACCGTAAAGTGGGTGTCGAAAATGCGGACGTAGAAAAGACAACGCTAACAGATTTTTTCGACCTAAAAAACCACATACACAGGCACTTACTAACTGGTAGTACGAGACCTGCGGTCCTTCAGGGTTTAGGAGAAACCACCACGCAGAGGCACCGACAGTGGCAGCCCCGACGTAAGCCCCAACAACGAGGTAACGGAAGAAGAGCCATCCACTAATAAGAGGTTCCTTCGAATTTCGAGGAGGCCGCTCCATGATATCGACGTCAGGGGGATTGAAGCCCAGGGCCGTGGCAGGAAGGCCATCGGTGACAAGGTTCACCCAGAGCAGTTGGACCGGGATAAGAGCCTCGGGTAGGCCGAGAGCCGCCGTTAGGAATATGCACACAACTGATAAAGCAAAAGCAACGCCTTCAACTTCGGTTGACAAAAAACCCACTAGAAGGGTAGTGAAATGCTAGTTTATTGTGTTATTTGGAAACACGGAAAATCCTATTTTGGCGAGAGCATATCCGGGATTTAATGGAGAATGCAATCTCAGAGGGTAATAATAAAGAGCATATCACACCACGAAGGAGATATCATAAATGCTACTTCCGGTGTAAACTTAATGCCAAATTAGAGTAGGTGAAATTCGCCAGCTTATATAAAGGTTATTAACAGTGTGATAAATGGATATTTTTGAGTATGTGATGCTCAGTCATCTGTGGATCACGCCATATTTACCTTAACTCAATCAGTGACGACTGACTTCACTTATCTTTATAGTACTGAGGTTTGCCAGGAACCTTGACTTCACACGAGGTGTACACACAACAAAAGGACTGGGCCTGAAACCTGATTTAAGCATGGTCGCTCGTTCGCGGTCCCAACAGTTGCCAGTTTAGAAACGGGCGTGAATGCAAAACGCTAGGTGCGTAAAGCCAAATTTGATGGAACCTTTAACAGCGGCTACAAATCACACGGCAAAGAGGCGTTGGATGAATTGAACACGCTTATTGAATATGGACCGTAATGTCAACACCTTAACACAGAGAACAGATCCTTAACTTCAAGCCAGTGTGAAGAATTTAGCCAGTCCAAACAAATGAATTACATTCATGCTTAATCAATCGCTAGAATAAAGGTATGGACTTAGAAATTGGCACTACCATAAGGAATAAGATGCCACAGGTTGACATAACGAAGAAATTTTTGAACGAATATAAATTCAAAATAGTCGGAGAAGCTAATTATGCACAAGACCACGAAGAGCTACTTGTCGAATAAGTGGGAAACGATAAGAATCCTTTAGCGTACCTTCACCAATATTGGAGGATATAAGATATCTGATGAACTGCTTCATGTTATTGTAAATTGCTCGACCCTCTTCCACAGCAGCTACAATTGTAGAGAAATTATCATCGGCGAGAATCATTTCTGAGGCCGATTTTGCAACCGCTGTACCACTGCCCATGGCAATGCCGATTTCAGCTTTCCTGAGAGCTGGTGCGTCATTTACACCATCACCAGTCTGCAAAGAAAGCAAAGAACGACAAATGGTTACTTTTTTACAATAACAATGACACCAATCCACAGATGTCATTTGCAACCAAACACGTTAAATAGTTGCTCCCAAGATGTTCACACCGCCAGCGCGTCCGTTCAATTTCGGTAAAAACATGGCAGTACGGATCGGACGCATCGCTTCAGATGCTAAATTTACAAACAGGGTAAACTGCACATTCACATCCAGTCACAATAAAATATTGACAAGTCTGCTAACACTTGAAAGAAAATCAACGTGCCATTGCAGAAACTTCGTTATCGGCCTGAAGAAATGCGACAATCTTGCTCTTGTGTGCTGGTTCGACACGTGCGAAAAGCTTTGCCTTGCGCACAGCAGCGGACATCTCCTCAGGGGAGAGGTCGTCGAACTCGCGACCCGTGAATGATTTACCCTCGGTTTCTTCGTGTTCTTCGAACAGACCGATTCTACGGCAGATTGATTCTGCTGTGGCCTTGTTGTCTCCAGTAATGACAATCACCCGAATACCTGCACGTTTGCAAAGTCGAATACTCTCTGCTACCTCGGGACGTGGAGGATCCAGCATGCCGACAATACCGACCAGGGTCATGTTTGTCTGTAAAAAATCCAATAACACACTACCTTCGACGAGTACTTACAGGGCAAGCTAATAAACAGTAAAAAGGCTCTATAAAAATTTAGGAAAAAGGGTGAGAAGAACCACTTTTACGTCAAACAAAAAAGTGAAATAAAAGAACATGAAACCTCATTGGGTGATCGTAAATGAATTAATACTACTCATCTAAAAATGCTTATAACGATACCAAAGCAGACAACAAGGTTTCCAAATAAGAAAAATTTGCTTGCACATGAACGTCACAAAAGATGTTCATACCAATCAAAAAAGGACATTAAATAACCAATGAAAAAACTTTTATCAAACCCCCGTACATGTAAGTGTAAAAATTGCAAGCCAAATCACAAATTTCCATCCAACAGATATGTCGACTACATTTTTGTCGAATTTTATAGGAAGAAGCGATGGAATGACTTTTCAACATATGTGAATTCAATAATCACGCAAAATATAAGAGAATGAAATGATATCTAAGGAGTGAACACACACAAGCAACATTAACACTAAATGAAGAGTTAACATTATGGTCAACACACAGGTGACAATTTTGACGGCTTAATTTTTTTCGAAAACCACATATTAAGATAGTCAATCCGCTAAGACTACATGGAATAAGAGCGATGGAGATGAAATTCAGCTCAAACTGACGAGACAAACGAGGGAATCTACACGACGATGATCCGACTTATGGGGGGCAGCAGAACTGCTGTGTATAAAATTACATTACCCATTACATAGTGATACCGCTGTAAATAGTAGAACGATTACAAGACAAGCGTTTCTGCAAAATAAAACCAAGTAAGTTAGCTTCCAAATTTACCATCTTAATGAACTCAACAACGCTTTAGATGGAGAATCCAAGCACTGAACACAAACGTGAGACTGAAGTAAGAATGGTAGAAGAGGCTTCTATGACTTATACGAGAATCGCAATAAAATCAACAGGTCTCCAATAATGCAAACAAGCATTTGTTGAAATGTTATCGTAAGAAATCATAAAAATCCTACGTGTTTCAGTTTTGATTTTCTTGGTGATCACAACTTTAAAAGAAAAAATGGCACGCACCTCATAGTCCTTGAAGTTGGATGAATCATTTAGTTTGAAAGTGGATACAGCAGCTGGGTTGTCAACGGTGGCAAGAGCTAGACAGCGCATTGTCTCGCGACCTGTGGCGTAGGTTGCCACCTTACGGAGAATCTCGTTCTTCATGTGTGAATTCAGGAGGAGAGTGCCATCGGGGATACGCATGTGGGTGCAACGATCAAGGATGGATTCAGGGGCACCCTGTACAAGTTAACCATTAATAAATAAACGATTGGCTGTGTTCATTCAATGCAAAAGGACACGACACAAAAACGCTAGTGCTATTTTGTGTTACGTGAAGCAGTGTACACGATAAATTGGTCATATATTATCAAAGAAAAACAACATATTATTTAGTTGGGTCGAATAGTAAAGCACAATAATCACATCACACTTTTGGGGTTGATAGAGGTAAAGCCAAGGATTAGTACTTATTAAAAAAGGCAAGTTAAAAAACAACCATTTCCATATACTAGATAAAGCAATATAACGCAAGTTTTGTGATAATGCCAAGCGAGTTTGAATACACCAACATATTTATACTCGTTTCTGCATGTAGCACGCATTTTAGAGGCTCAAAATTAAACAAATTTGCGAAATTTTAAAAGGCAGAATTGGGTGCTGACACCACTACTAGAGTACATATTTGATTTATGGAAATGGAACCAATGCACCGATTGTTGAAGCCCGAAAAAAAACAATTGTTTCGTACCCCCAAATAATTAACAAAAGTCAACTTACCTTTACAAACAACTTCCCAGAGTTGCTGACATCACCACGCGGAGTTACGTAGACAGACATGGATTTTCGATCACGAGAAAATTCCATTGTGAAGTGCTTTGTGAAAGAATTCTAAATACCCGGAAAAAACGTAAGCAAAAATAAGGGTGATATAGGACAGCTAACATATGCACTCGCTTTTAAAGCACTTTGGTATAATCTAAACTGAAGTAACCTGAGCTGCCAAACATCAGCTAACCTCTTTTATAAAGGGCCACATAATCACAACGGAAGTGAATGTTCGGAATATCACAAAGATGATTCACATAAAAAAATACTGTTGCTAAGAGCGTATTCACATAACTGTCATAATTATGAGGTTACATAAACTAGAGCATTAAAGTCAAAATTACGTCGAGACCAAAAATATTCAAACTTTTAAGCTTCGATATGTTAATATTTTGGGGTTTAAGATAAATAGGTATTACGGGCGGGCCTATGAGCTTACTGTAATCGAGTAATTGCAAGCCATAGCTAGTTCCTGTTTGTTCAGCACGGACTTATCCACAGTCGTGACGTTCATCTTCTCAACGAGGCAGGTGAGTGCCGTTTCAGTGGCTTCGCCAACCTTCTCGTAGGCATTTTTCATCGCATTATATTCTAGAGCTGAATCATTACATAAGGCGCAAATATTAGCCAGTTCCACTAAACATTTGTTCTGGGCACAAACGACCTTTTCGCCCCGTTTAAGGCTAAAAATAAAAACCTAAGATTAGAGGATTGCATTATAACCAACTGAAATGACAAAAAAGAACCTTTGAGGTAATACTGCGATAGACTGCAATTTCATGTGCCAGATTTGCCTGAATTTAGTCTACGTATGTTTCGCGGAAAACAAGCAATCAACAGCAGCCAAGGCTTTAAAAAAATACAACATTTAGAGAAAATAGTGCAGTACAGTAACTTACACTTCGCCTTCAGGAGCGTACTTTGAGCCAGTGACTTCGTACTCATCGAATAAAAAGTTCGATGTCAGGTCGCCTGCAGGTGTTTGGTTAACATCTGGCCCAAAGAAAGTGAACAAACGACAGACAGTCATTTGGTTCGTTGTAAGTGTTCCTGTTTTATCAGAGCAAATCACACTAGTGCAACCAAGCGTCTCAACCGATGGGAGGGATCGGACGATAGCATTCTTGCGAGCCATTCGACGAGTACCCAAAGCAAGACAAGTTGTGATAACAGCAGGCAGACCTTCGGGGATAGCCGCAACCGCCAAAGCTACTGCAATTTTAAAATAGTAAACTGCACCCCGAAGCCACGATCCACCATGGGCAGGATCGTTGAAGTGACCGATATTGATTATCCATACCGCAATGCAAATTAGTGTAATGACCTATAAAAAATTCGAAACCTTATTTAAATAAAGCTCTAACAGGGTACTGTAAGCCAATAAATAACACGACACGATATGACAAATGCGTGAAATCTCGAGAAAACATACAACACACTTGCCTTTGACAACTGCTCACCGAATTCATCCAACTTTTGAGTAAGCGGAGTTTTTTCTTGTTCAGTTTGCATTATTTGATTTCGAATTTTGCCTATCTCTGTTTCAAGACCAGTGGCAACAACAATGCCGTAGCATCTTCCAGAGGCAATGTTAGTGCCACTGAAGAGGATATTCTTTTTGTCTTGGTTAACGGCCTTGGAGTCAGGAATCCTGTCTGAGTGTTTAAGCACAGAAACAGATTCACCGGTGAGAACAGATTGATCAGCGCGAAGAGTTGTGCTAATTATTTTGATTATCCGTATATCCGCAGGAACCTTGTCGCCAACTAAATGGTAAAGATGAATGTTATGACAAATGTTAGCAAGGATACTTGTGGGGTACTAAACTGCACATATACCTGACACTTCAACAATGTCCCCGGGCACCAGAAATTTGGCTTTAATTCGTTGAATGCCTTTCTGATTTTGACGGATAACTTTAGCGTCATCAGACTCATACTCCTTAAGAGCTTCAATCGCGGACTCAGCATCACGCTCTTGCCAAACACCAACAATAGCATTTAAAATCAATATTAGAAGAATCACTAAAGGTTCGACAAAAGCAGTAGTGGAGTCCACCGAATCCTCGAACAAGGCCAGAACCTAAAAACGGTAGCGGTGTCATATATACAAACACGCACTTACAAAAGATATCACGGCAGCAACCAACAAAATCTTTACAAGCAGATCGTCGAATTGCTCCAAGACCAATTTCCACAAGGGTTTGCCTTCTTCACGTGGAAGTTCTGAATGGAAAATGTTAGATTATGT